CACCGTATGTCCCCAGACTTGAAGACTGGAGAGTAGAAAGGTGGAGCCTACCCTTCACCCGTCACTGGTCGCAGGACAGGCTGAAGGGGCTGGAAGACCCCGCTTCGGGAGGACCCGGAGCCTTCACAGCGCTGTGGTCGTAGCAGGAGGCGCCGAAAGCTTCCAGCTCCCAGGTCCTCCTTGGCTGGACACGGCCCGCGTCCCCCTGCCCCTACCTGCCCCCCAGCCTGTCACCTACTCTGCATCTTGTTCCGCTTGCGGGGCCCTCCCTGGGCCTGCAGCAGCAGCACACAGAGAAGCAGGGTGGGCAGCAGAGGCCGGGAAGCCATGGCTCAGCCTGCGCAGTGAGCTCCGAGCCTGGCACAGACCTTCCTGGAGAGCGGCGCGGGGAGGGAAGGAAGGAAGGGTGTCCTGGGCTCCTCCCCTGTGCCTGCCCCTCCCATGGCCTGTCCTGTGTGGGGCTTGGGCTTCTGCAGAGCCAGCCCTTCCCATCACATAACTAACCCTCTCCTTTCGCAAAGAGAACTTTTATCCTGAAAGCTGTAATCTATTTTTACTTTCTAATGACAAAATAATTTACAGGAAAAAGAAAAATGGAAGTAAGGGATGATGAAAATCTCACTGTATGGAATTAACCTATGTCTCATTGCAGAGCTGACTCTTGAACAACATGGATTTCAACTAGGCGGGTCCACTGATACTTGGATTTTTTTCAGTAAATGCTGTTGGCCCTTGGGTATCCTTGGATTTCTCATCTGTAGCTTTAAATAACCTAGGATCAAAAGATTTTTTTTTTTTTTACATTTCTAAGCTCAGGATAAAAAAAATTACTGTTTTCTATCTGCCATTGGTTGAATCTATGGATGTTAAGGGCCAACTACAGTTAAGTCTTGCGGGGGGCAAAAGTTGTGAATGGACTTTTGGCTGCTCGGGTCAGTGCTTCTAACCCTCACATCTTTCAAAGGTCAACTGCATTATCTTTTCAGTTTCTTTGCATATTTAATAGAAGCAATTCTTTTGTTTTCTTGCAGTGTGAATCACCCACCTTTTTTTAACCATCTTGCCCCACTCTCATTTAATCATGAAAACATTTCACAAAACATGGTTTTCCATAATTGTACAGCTCTGATTTAACATAAACACCTATTGTCAAGCATGTGTGCTGTACCAATTACTGATAATTAGACAATTCATGTTGAGAATTTTTATTCATAAATCCTTAATTTTTAAAAAATATTAAATATATGTTTTTGGATTAACAATATTAGTTACACAACTATTAGTTAATAATTACCTAAGTTTCAAGTGTACAATTCTATAATACATCTGTATATTGCACATGTGCTCACTATCCAAAGTCTAGTCCCCTCTCGTCACCATATATTCGAACCCCTTTATTCTCTTCATACTCCTCCCACCCTTTTTTCCCTCAGATAACCATCATAACTGTTGTCTTCGTCTGTAAGTCTGTTTGTTGGTTTTGCTTTTTCATTTATTGCTTTCTGTTTTATATCTCACATGTGAATGAAATCATATGGTTCTTGTCCTTTTCCATCTAATGTACTTTGCTTAGCGTGATACTCTCAAGATCTACCATTTTTTTTGCAAACGTCACCCATTTTTACGGTTGAGTAGTATTCCATGTATGCTATATATATGTACTACATCTTCTTTATTCAATTGTTCACCTAGGTTGTTTTCATATCTTGGCTGTGGTGAATAATCCTGCAATGAACATAGTTGCACATACATATTTACAAATAATGTTTTGAAAAATTTGGGGTAGAGACCCAAAAGAGGGATTGCTGGGTCATGTGGTAGCTTTATTCTAATTTTTTGAGGAATCTCCATAGTGGCCGTACCAGTTTACATTCTTAGTAGCAGTGTACAAGGATTCCTTTCTCCCCCATCCTCTTCAACACTTGTTATTTCTTGTCTTACTGATAATAGCCATTCTAACAGGTATGAGGTAGTATCTCATTGTGGTTTTGATTTGCATTTCCCTTCCAGCTAGTGAAGTTGAACATCTTTTCATTTATCTGTTGGCCATCTGTGTGTCTTCTTGGGAGGAGTATCTGTTGAGGTCCTCTGCCCATTTTCTAATTATTTTTTTGTTGTTGAGTTGTGTGAGTTCTTTGTATATTTTGGATATTAACCTCTTATCAGATTTTTGTTTGCAAATATCTTCTCCCATTTAGTTCGTTGTCTTGATTTTAAACTAAGTGGAATTTGTGGATGAAAGAATAAATAGGTATTTTAGGTATATATAAATATATATACATTTGCTTGTATGCCCAATATAATGCCCTCTTTGATATTTGGGAACCAAATCTATTCCTTCTAAAGTCCTTCCTATTTGGTCTCTTTTTATTCACATAAAAGTCACATGACATTTGGTGGGAGATGATGTTATGCTTTAATGAGCATAGGAGAATCAATACAGAAAAGGATTAGACCTCAATAACCCATATGACAAGTTCAAAGAAAATAGATAAACAGACTATTCTCCACTCCCAATCTATGGATAGACTCAACTGCATTAGATAAAGACTCTAGACTGGGGTCTGTTGGGGGTGGCCAGAGCTGCAACCCAGGTACACAGTGTGCCTCCCAGCTTAGTGAGAGATTCCACTCACATCAAAGAAAACCCAGTGCTTCTGGATGGGTGAGTAGTGAAGGACACAGACTGTGATCTGACCAACATGTAGTTACTGAGCAGAACGTAAAGATCTGCTACTACCAAAATCATCATTAAGTTCTAGGCCTTTGACCTTTGTCATTCTGTTCTTCTGCCCCCTGTTCCAGAATACAACCTCCCTTCCCCCTCTGTAAGTAAGAAGAGTCCAGATAAAAGAGCTGTCAGCCAGTTACCGCAGACACTCAACTCAGACACCTTCAGAGGTAGGTGGGGGAAGGGTATGGAGGCATAAGCTTTTATTTGTGGCTGGCTTGGATGAGTTCCATGCTCAGGTGGTGTCAACATTATTCCCCTGAGGTGGGGATCATTGTCTCTCTTGTTCAAATAAGAAATGGAAATAGAGGTGATATGACCCGTCTGAGGTCCCGAAGGTAAAAGGGACAGAGATGAAACAAGATATCAGCATTCCTGACTCGAAATTCAATACTTTCTCTCCTTTAACATTACCTGGAAAGCCCGGGGATCCTGAGCTTTGGAGGGGGGCAGTAGTTCTGTTTTTGGGACACCTAGGGACCTTTTCATTGTTCTGCACTCCATCTCAGGATGGCCAAAGAGTCTACCCAGAACTCTGTATGTGAGTAGTACCCAGCCTGGGTGTGATGATGTTTCTCTTCTCTGGCATCATACACCTGAGTTGTGTAAATAAGGGGACTGGGCACCCCCAGACCTGCACACCCTTTAAGGGCAAGTAGAGGACTCAGAAAACTGGACCACACATGAGGCCTTTTAAATGAACAGATCTCAAAGCTCTTGACACTCAAATCTAAAATGACATTTTTGAATACCAATAAACAGCTTTACAGAACCTATTATTCTGGAATTATTGTGCTTCTGTCACTGCGTGCCAGTCTTCCTCTTTCTCTGTGCAAAAGGCAGGTGCCAGGAATCCCAACCCATGCCCATCTTTGCCCAGTCACCTCATACCTCATATCCTCACCTGTAAGTGGTTAACCACCTGCTTTGCACATCTGTCTTGCTCTGAGCTGGTGCCTTCAGAGGCCCACAAGAACACTTCGAGTCATGCTCAAGTTTTTCTCATGCAATGCTCACTGGCTTTCCTGTGCAAAAAATCTAAGCATTATAATTTATAGGGGTTTTGGAAGCCTACCATGCTCAAAGATAGTTCTCCTTTGGCTTGGAGCATCACCAATTAAGTTGTATCCTTTGATGTAAATATTGCCCAATGATAAATGAAACCTCAACACCTTAACTTGGCAGTTTTCCTTCATCAAGCCATGCCAAGACAGGCTGGCAGGGATGTGGGCTCTGAATGGAGTAGGTTGCAAGGCAGATATAAGCATTTAAGAGCGGAAATCCCCAAACAGCTGACCTTTAATCTTTTACATTTTAAGGGCTTCTTTCCTTTGTTCCCCTATCTTTTCCATAAATCTAATTTGCCTCAAAGTTAATGAATCAATGATTCACATGTCTAAAACATGCATTTACATCATCTATGTAGATGTAAGTCATTTTTTTTTAGTTGATTCTAGAGAGAGGGGAAGGGAGAGAAAGAATCACTGATGTGAGAGAGAGACATCAATAGGTTGCCTTTTGTATGCATCCCAACTGGGACTGAACCCGCAACCCAGGCATGTGCCCTGACAGAGAATTGAACCGGTGGCCTTTAGCTTTGTGGGATGATGCTCAACTCACTGAGCCACACTGGCCAGGGCTGTAAATGAAAGTTTTAAGAGTCCCTTGACCAGTTGTTGGCTATCATCTTTTTTCAAGTCCTGTTGAGTAATCTGCTTCATCATTCACTCTGGAATCACTCTGGTACTCTTTGTTTTAGGGTCTTGACTAAACTATATCATTCGGTTACATATGTTCTTAAATAAAAAAATCAGGACACTCAATGTGTTCTAGTATTCCAATTTCATAAAAACAGTGACTACAACATTAATAGATACACACATACTGCTGGTTATCTCTGGGGTGGTGGAATTCCTAATGTGTATCTATTTTCTCTTTGTATTTTTTTGTTTTACGAATTATACAGTCTGAACATTTATTGCTTTTTAATTGAAGAGACAGTAATTCGTTTTTTAAAGAAATAATTTTGCAAAGGAAGCAGTAAGCAATGTGAGGTGGGGAAGAGACCTGGGGAAGCCAATGGCTAGCTTGATGTGTTGTTAGGTGCCAGAGAGTGAAAAGGAAAAGTAGGAGAAAGAATAACACAATATTCACAAGCACTCTCTCTCTCTTTCCTACCCTATTCTCCTTAATTCCTTTTCTGCCTCTAGCAGCATTTGGAGAAGATCTGCCTTGCGCCAGAACTTAACCCAAACACACAGAGACGACCATGAAGCCCTGGGTTCTTCTACTCATCGTGTGCGTCTGTGGGGTGGTGATGCTTCTGCCTGTGCTGGGAGGTGTCAGGAACAAACTTTTCTGTAGGTGGTGTGGCAGGGGAGGAGGGTGTTCTGCCCAGTCCTGGGATATCTGCCGTAATTGATTCAGGCCCAATTTCCTGGATCACCCTTCAAAGGTTCAAACCCTCCCTAAAGTAGAGACAAGGAAGATTAGGTTGGACGTTCCCAGTCTGGTGTCCCTTCAAGCTCTCTCTCCCAGATCTGAAAGTAACGTTAGGTATGTGGAAAAGCAAGGTAGTTTTTGTCTGCATTTCATAAGCTCACAAGAAGTAATATTTTGCAATGTGAGGCCACCTTGGGTAGAAGAAATATCAGCACAGAGCTTCCCTCCGAGCCCATAGTTTCAGAATCTCTGCACCTGACCTGAATGAGCCTTTGATGAATACCAAAAGGGTACTATTTTAACACTTTCATTTGGCTTGAAGGGAAGAATCTTTTAGACCATGAAAAAATAGACATGATAAATAGGAGGTGCTTAGTGAGTCAAAGTTTGGGGTCATCTGATTTTTAAAAAATGGGGATCATGAAGGGACTGAGAGGGAAGGTTGTGGGCCAGTGAAAGATAGGGAATTTGGGGAGAGGCTGAATGGCCAGGCGGTGTCACCAGAATAGGCTTAGAGGGTAATTTGTTCAGTGAAATAAGTCAGATGTAAAAGACAAACGCCATATGATTTCACTTGTATATGGTCTCTAAAAAAAAAAAGAAAATAAATAAATAAACAAGCAGATCAGAGATAGACTCACAGATACAGAGGACATTTCAATGGAGAAGGGGGTTGGGGGCTGGGTAAGAAAGATAAAAGGATTAAGAAGTACAAACTGGTAGTTACAGAATAGTTATGGGGATGTAAAGTACAGCAGAGGCAAAATAGTCAATGATATTGTAATAACTTTGTATGATATCAGATGGGTACTAGAGTTACTGGGGTGATCACTTCATAAGTCATATAAATGCCTAATCTTTTGGGTTGTATACCTGAAACTAATATAATATTGGATGTCAACTGTAGGTGAAAAATAAACATTATTTAAAACATAAAAATAAAAGTAGAAGTAAAAAAAGAGAGAGAACCGAAAAGGGGAAAAGTGGGTTCCTAGTCTCCCACGGCTCAGTTTTCCAGTCTGCAAATTGGATGTGGAAATACAACCTAGAGGATAGGGCAGGCCCTGAAATCTAAGGTTATATGAGAATAGATTTGGCGAGGCAGCATCATACATGGTGAGGGTGTCCTAGGTCCTGCCTTTAGAGGGAGCTTGGCGAGGACTGGAAGGCCTGAAATACCGTGGGGACATGCGGTCAGACAGAAGACATGTCATAAAGATGGTCCTCTGTGAAAAGACGCTGACTAGACAGCAAGCAAGGGATTATCTGGAAAGGCAGAGAAAAACTTTATGGCTCGAAGCTCAGGTTCCAGAGCTCAGGGATTGTTAAGCTTGAGAAGGGTTTCTTCTCCAAATTGTGAACAGATAGGCCCTGCCAACTCCTACCATCTCAGTTCCAGATAGAGTCAGAGAAATTGAGCAGTGCTGGGTGCAGCCTCCGATTAAGTACTGCGCGAAAAGGTGCACAAAGGTACGCGGATGTACAAAACAAAATTATACATGCTGCTGGACCTTCTGCGGAAACATCTGCTTGGAAAATGAGTGAGTTGGTTGGGGAGGGAAGGTCAGGCCTGGGTATGCTTCCCCACTGCCATTCGGAAGATGTGACCTGGAACAGAGGCCTGCAGCCACCCAGCTCCTGGTCAAAGAGACAGGCTGCACAAGGCAACGCCTTGCAACCTCCACCCCTAGGCTGCCACTCATTGCAAAACAAACCCCAGCATCAACGTGGGGGCCTCTGCTCCTTTTTTCACTCTCATTCAGTTCCCCCGAAACATCATCCTTCCTTTTGTTTATCCTGCCTTTGTCCAAGGCCTCAGTCTGTCCTCTCCTTTGGCCCTTTGTCTCAGCCAGCCCCAAGGAGAGCCGGTCACCCCTTACGTGCTCAGTTGACAAACCGCTTGGGTGAACTTGCTTAAAAAATTGAGTATCTCCTGATCTTACAAAAGCAATACTTGTTCCCCTTAACTAGGGCCAAGGGTGTTATTAAGTTTGGGAATGGATGTCCCCCAGGGTCCCCTGACTTTTCACCACTTACCTGTTCTCTTCCAGAGAGCCCTTTACATCAATATTCAACCTTAGGGCCAAGCTGCCTCATGACTAGCGTGGGCAGGAGGATGACCACGTGGTCTAAGGAGAGCGCTGGCTGCCTCCCTCTTGCAGTACCCATGGGCTCCTCTCTGTTCTGAGCTGGGGACCTCTCTGTTCTCCTCTTGGCCTCTCTATCCTGGGAAGGCTCAAGCTTTTGCCAAATAAACTGATACACCAACCTGAGGGCTCTGCATTTTTTGTGCTCCCACCCTGTGACTCCATTTCTTTCATTATAACCCCTAACACTCCTATCAGTTGTTCCCATCCCATTATGGGCCCAGGCACCCAACTCAACCTTCCAGTCAGACCTAGGTATTAGTCACGGAAGCTCATGGCTGTACCAAAAATACAGAGATTTATAAAAATCTCATGGGGTTAACACAGAGTTTATTCTCATTCACAATACATGAAACAAATGAAAATGCCAAACATACAAAGCCGATGGGAACACAACATACCAAAACCTATGGGATGCTGCAAAAGCAGTTCCGAGAAGAGCTGCCTTTATAGCAATTAACACCTATATTAAAAGAAATCTCAGATAAGCAACCTAACTTTTAACACCTCAAGAAACTAGGAAAGAAGAATGAACGAAGCCCAAAGTTAATAAAAGAAAGAATATGAAGGCCAAAGCAGAAATAAATGAAATAGAAACCAGAAAAACAACAGAAAGGGCTAATGAAGCTAAGAGATGTATTTTTTAATTTTAGTTATTATGTTCTTCCTTTTTAAAGTTTCCATTTTATTCTTCTTTGTAGCTTCTACTTCTTTGCTGACACTTTCTACTTTTCCATCAATGTCAAGGGTGATCATAATTGCTTGCTGCCGAATTTTTATAATATCTACTTTAAAGTCTGTCAGATAATTCCAACATTTATTTTATCTTGGAATTGTAGTCTGTTGATAGTCTTTTTTTTTTAAACATTTTATTTATTTATTTTTAGAGAGAGGGGAAGGGAGGGAGAAAGAGAAACATCAATGTGTGGGTGCCTCTTGTGCGCCCCCTAATGGGGACCTGGCCCACAACCCAGGCATGTGCCCTGACTGGGAATCAAACCGGTGACCCTTTGGTTTGCAGGCTGGCGCTCAATCCACTGAGCCACACCAGCCAGGGTGTTGCTAGTCTTTTTTGGTATGAGTTGATATATTCCTTTTCCTTCACTTGCTGCATAATTTTGGATTGCGTATCAGACATTTTGAATACTAGCTTATGAGACTCCAAGTCTCAATGGAGAAGGCTGATAATTCTGTTATCAAAAGTAATTGAAATGGTCAGTCTTGGGCTGAAAAGCTCACCCTGTCTGCCGTGGGTTGCGGTTCCAAGGTCAGTTCAGTTTTCAAATCCTTTTCAGCTCTTTTAGTATCTTCCCTGCCTGTGCACCACCTTGTAGCTAGTCTGGGTCCTAGGTGGAGTTGTGTCTGTTCCTTTCTCAAAGTACTGTGTCAAAGAGGGTCACATCTGCACGCACAGCTTGGAGGCGAACCCAAGAGTAAACAGACAACTTTAAGGTTCGCTTTCCCGGCTTCCTCCCTCTGTGATCTCCCCAGTACCTTCTATTTCCCCGAGGCTCCCCAGAACTGGAGCTTTGGTTGCTCTGCTCAGTTAGGCATTTCTACAGCTACATCCCCATCCAGGGCCAAATGGTGGGAGAACAAACAGGGAAAATGAGAAATGGGGAAACGAATGTCCACCCACTCTCTCAGAATTACAGCTGTGCCCAACAGAGGAAGAGTTCCCCTCCTTCAGCGTTTTGGCTCCTTCCAGCCCCCATACCAGCTGCTGCCATGACTACCATAGAGTTTCTTCAGGGCCACCGTGCAGGAGAACACAGAGAGAAAGAGAAAAAAAACCCCAACAAAACCCCAGGGGATTTCTGCACCTCTCCTGAGCATCCCAAGCTTCCCTTTCCATGCATCACACCAGAATTACAGGGTTTTTCCTGAAGCTCTCTAACTGGCCCCTGATGCTTATTCCCAGGTTTGCCAGGGGCGACTAGATGGAAAAAATCCCAGTAAACTCATCACCAGTACTGTGGGGCTCGAATTCTTGCCTTCTTTCCCAATCAGCCTGCTGTTATTTACTTTCCGATTTTTATAGGGAGAGAGAGAAGGACTCAGAACCAGGAAAGAGTTCGTATCCCTGGAAGTGGGCTGGCCTCTCCTCCTAGCAGGCTCCTAGTGTGGACGTCTGTGTCAATCTAATCCGAGCTGAGTTGGTGGTGTAGCGGCATGTCGTTGCTGTGGTTATCCTGAGTGCACCACGGACCTCAAGTTCCATCCTCAGAACACAGACACCTGTTTTGAGGGTGCAGCTGGGGTTACTGGATGAGCTTTTCCCAGGTGACTGCCCCGCCCTCAGCTTTGCGCTCTGCTCTCTGAGAATGACCAGCTTCTGCAAGTTACTCGTTAACTACGTGTTCCTAGTCTGACAGGTTAGCGGGGCGTTGGGGTCCATTCTCTTTTGTTCTGATTGTCTTGGTCTTAGGGAGACACTGTGTCCCTGAGTAACAGGGACACATTGTCTTGCTAATGACCCTGCCCTTTCCTGCACCCCCAGGACAAGGTCCTGAATCTGGCAAGTCTTTCTGCCCCTCCCCCCAGCTACAAGATTTCTCTTGTACCCTTAGGGCAACGATTTTGCTCCTCTCTCCCAAGACTAAAGCTTCTAGGAAAGACAGAAAGGATTTCAGGTGGAATTTCTCACCCCTTCCCTAGTGGCTGCTGCCTACTCTCCACTACGAGTTCCACAGCTCGACAGAGACTTTTTCTGTCTCTAGGTACCTTTACTCTAAGTGCCCAATGGGGTTCCTGGAGAAAAAGTCTACAAGAGGGTATGGACTCCACCGGTGTTTGCAGCCCCCAGGACTTCATTCTCTTCTGCCTGTGCACACTCGGTCTCCAGCAGTTTGCCAACCGCCCTTGCGGAACTCTCCTTACCAGTGCCTGGCTGCACGCCCTGTGGGTCTTCAGTGCCCATGCCTCTCCCTCCCCAGATTCTGGACGGCTCGGCTGCCCCATCATCTCAGCGCTCAGGTGAGTTCAGGAAGAGTTGCCTAGCTTTTTGTCCATGTAAGTTTGGGAGGTTTATTCAGCTCTCTACATCTCCAAGCAGAAACCAAAATTCCCTTTTCTTTGATTACTATTATTTTTAATTGTGGTAAAATGCACATAACATATAGTTAAGCATCCTAGCTATTTTTAGGTACACAGCTCAGTGGTAGTAAGTACATTTGTCTTGTTGTGCCATCCGCCCGCCACCATCTATTGCCAGGACTCTCCTCACCTAGCAATACTGACAGTCTGTCCCAGGTAAGCAGCCACTCCCCGTTCCCCCTCCTCAGCCCCTGGCAGCCACCATTCTATTTTCTGTCTATAAATCTGACTCCTTTCAGAACCTCATATAAGTGGAATGTTATAAAAACCAGATATCATAGATTACTTTCTGTGACTGGTTTGTTTTACTTAGCATAGTGTCCTCAAGGATTCTATGCGTGCTGTATAGCACTTCCTTCCTTTTAAAGGCTGAATAATGTTCTATTTTATATATGTTCTACATTTTATTTATCCACTCAATAGAGTGGGAAAGAGATCTCTTCAGGAACGCATAGCTACAAACTGGTTTCCTGACCTGACAGTGAAACAGGAATTAGCATGTGTGGAATCTGAGAAGCCTGAAGCTAAGTATTTAATTCAAAATGGTCTGAATTGTTAGGGTTATATGTAAAACAAACTGATTATGAAAATCCCTGCTTAAATACAGGATTTCAAGATACTCCACAGATAGAGTTCCATTAAAGATAAGCATTTGTTAAATGTAAGCGCTCACAAGAAAAAAAAAATTCACACACAATTTAAGACAACAAGGAAAGAAAAGAAAAAGAGTCAAGAGAAACAGCCGAGATCTACAAAGACTTCAGATATTGGAATTATTGCGCACACACAATGCAAAATAAAAATGCCTGGGAAATAAAAGGAAATGAAAAGATAATAGAGGGCAGTAACAGCATGACTAAGGGTCAGGGGAACATAAAAATGACCAGAATGTTGAAAAAGTGCCAAATAGAACGCCTAGAAATGAAATATGTAACTGAAGTAAAAACACAAACAAACGGAAAGAAATCATTTGACTAAGAGTAGCAACAGAAGCCTAAAGACAGTAAAATATATTTTCAAAGTGCTGGCTGAAAAAAACTGTAAATCTAGTTCTGAATACCCAGTGAAACTTTAAAAAAAGTTAAACAATTTTTTCCAGCTTTAATGAGGCATGATTGACAAATAAAAATGATATGTACTTAAGGTGTACATCACAATGTTTTGATATGGGAATTTATTGTGAAATTGTTGCCACAATCAAGCTAATTTAACATATCCATCACCTCACACAGTCACTTCTTTTTTTGTGGTGAGCACACAAGATTTACTCTCATGGAAAATTTCAAGTGTATAATATAGTATTATTAACCGTAGTCACATACTGTACATTAGATCCCCAGAAATTATTCATCTTATAACTCAAGGCTTGTGCCCTCTGGCCAGCATCTCCCCATTTCTCCCATCCCTCAGTCCCTGGCAAGAAATGCCTTTGGAATTTCGATAGGGATTGCATTGAATATGTAGATCACTTTGAGTAGCCTGAACCTTTAAATGATATTTAAGTCTTCCAATGTGTGAATATGAGGTATCATTCCACTTTTGAGTGTCTTCTTTTCATTTCTTTCATCACTGTTTTACACTTTCCAGTGTACAAATCTTTCATCTCCTTGGCTAAATTTATTCCTAAGTATTTTATAGATTTTGATGCTATTATAAATCATTTTGTTTTCTTAATGGCTTTTGTCAGTGCATAGAAACAGAACTGATTTTATATTTGTTGATTTTGTATTTTGAAACTTCACTGGATTTTTTTCTTAGTTCTACCAGTTTTTCTTAATGGTTTTTTAAATATAGATTATCATGTCATCTGCAAACACAATTTAACTTCTTCCTTGGATGCCTTTTATTTCTTTTCCTTGTGTGATTTTCTGCTTAGGACTTCCAGTATTTTGTTGAATAAAAGTGGCAAGAGTGGGCATCCTTGTTTTTTCCCCAATCTTAGAGGAAAAGCTTTCAGTATGATATTAACTGTGTATTATATTAGCTGTGGGCTTGTCATACATGACCTTCATTGTTGAGAATTTTATCATGAAAGGATTATGAATTTTGTACATGCTTTTTCTGCATTTATTGAGATGGTCATGTGATTTTTATCCTTTATTCTGTTAATGTGGTCTATCATATTGATTGATTTATAGATGTTGAGCCATCTTTACATCCTAGAAATAAATTCTACTTGGTCATGTTGTGTGAACTTTTGAATGTGCTACTGAATTCAGTTTTAATCAGATAATTTAAAATGAGCTGTCGTTAGGTCCACTGTTTTGTTTTGTTTTTTTTCCTGCTTGACCAAATCTGTTTCTGAATCGCTGTAATGAATTTTTCAGTTCATCTACAGTATTTTTGTTTGGTTCCTTTTTTTTTTTTTTTTTTTTTTTTACCATTTCTGTTCCTTTGTTGGTATTATCATTCTGTTCATATATCTTTTTTTTAAAATTTCATTTGGTTGTCAATCTGTGTTCTCTTAGAACTGAGATTTAAAACACAATTATTTTGATTTTTTGTTAGGCAATTCACAGATCTCCATTTCTTTTGGGTTGGTTACTGAAGATTTATTTTCTTCCTTGGAATGTGTCATGTTTTGTTGATTCTTCCTGACCCTGCAAGTTTGCTTTCTTGTCTGCACATTTGAAGAAACAGCCTTTATTAACTAGTTTTGACTGAGAGAAACTTTCATTGGTCAGTAGTACTTGACAAAAAATTAGGCAAGATAGAGACTAACTCCACAGGGAGCACAGTATAAAGCTGGAGACCAGACCCCTTTCGCTTCTTTGCCTCCTTCCTAGAGAGAAGGCCTCAGTTCTGTGCTTTTAGCAAATGTACAGAGCAGTGCCTCCTGTAAGAGGATGCCTCCTCCTTTCTTTGTTGCTAGCTGTCTCCGTGCTTGCTATATTTGGTCACTATATAATGATAAAAAAATTCAACTCACCAGGATTCATTCATATTTATCTAAATCAATAGAATCAGGATATACTAAACAAACACTAATGGAATCACAGGCATAAACTGAGAAACCCATGGCCGTGTGAAGAGAAGAGCCCTCAACACATCTTTCTCAATTATTGATATGTCAGGGAGAAAGAGAATACTAGAAAGGTTTAAGACATTTAAACAACACACTATGACCATATACCGTGCTCTGCGCTCCACACTTAGAATGCGTTTCCTCAGTATCAGAATGCAGATCATGGAGTAGGAGTTATTTATAAGGGCATGTCTTTGGAGGAGGCACCTACTTACCCTGCTGGAACTTAAGGCAAGGTGTGCTAGAGACCTACAGAGCTAATTATCCTCCTCAAGGCCTCCTGCCCTGTGATGGAGGCTGAAGGCACGTCCATGGTTGAGTAGCCATGCGACAGCACACGCCATGCCGTTGGGATGAGGGAGATGTGAACAAGGAGCTTTCGTGCAAGGAAACAGCACAGGACCCTGAGGCAGGGTGTGGTCCCAGTGCGGGAGTAGTAGAGGGTCAGGCAGGGGTCTTACCGGTACTTTTCAAAGGTTGTAACCCAAAATTCACACTCTTCCCCCAGCTCCTGGATATCTGTGGATCTTTCAGTTGCAAAATGCTCCTCGATTTACTGCAAGGAGTGACCTGTGACATGTGGAGAAAGAGGTAGGTTCAATGATCCGGTTCTGGAGAAACTCCTGACCAATCAGGTTCAGGAACCAAGGAGCCCACTGTGTTTAACAGTGTCCTCATGAAAGCTGGGAAACAGGAAGTGTCTCCCCACCGTCATTCTAAATGATTTAGATTCTTAGAGTCCCAGAAATTTAAGCTAAGTACTTCAATCTTCTAAAATATCTTCCTATTAAACATCTATTATAATGACTAAAACAAACATTTACAGACTAAGTGCTAGCGAATGTGGGAGCAAGTGGAACTCTCGCACAGTACTAGCGGGAATGCAAAATGATACAGCCACTTTGGAAAGCAGTTTGGCAGTTTCTTACATATGCTTATCATATAATCCAGCAGTCCCATTGCCTGCTATTTACCCAAAAGAAATGACAATTTATGTCCATATGAAAACCTGTATGCAAATGTTTGTAGAGGGGTTTACTCATAATTGCCCCAAACCAGAAACCACCCAAATGTCCATTAACTAGTAAATGGATAAACAACGTCTGCTACATCCATACAATGGATGATGACTCAGCAACACAAAGATACAAGCAGTAAACGACAACATAAAAAAATCTTAAATAACCTTATCCTAGCATGTTATAAATATTAATATTTTAAAACGCCCTTATAACTTTGAAAACTAAATTAATTGAGGTCAAAATATCATACTAATTTGATACCAACAATCACCCATTTAAAAAATATGCGACCTCATTTTGGCCAGAGCTGCCACCTCCCGGTAGTTCACCAAAATGACTAACACAAAAGGAAAAAGGAGAGGTGCCCATTGCATGTTCTCTAGGCCTCTTAGAAAACATGGCGTTGTACCTTTGGGCACATACATGTGAATCTTCGAGAAAGGTGATATTGTGGTCATCAAGGGAATGGACACTATCAAAAAGGAATGTCCTACAAATGCTACCATGGCAAAACCAGACGAATCTACACTGTCACCCAGCAGGCAGTGGGCATTGCTGTGCACAAATAGTTAAGGGCAACATTTTTACCAAGAGAATTAATGTATCTATTGAGCACATTAAACACTCTAAGAGCCAAGATAGCTTCCTGAAATGTGTGAAGAAAAACGATCAGAAAAAGAAGGAAGCCAAAGAAGAGGGACCTGCGGCCAACTAAGGCGCCAGCCTGCTCTGCCCGGAGGCGTGCGCTCTGTGTGGGCCAATGGGGAGGAGCCTGACTGCCTGGAGCCCACGCCCTCTGGATCCGTGGCAGGAGGAGTGTAACGAAATCACAGACCTCTGTGCTGGCAGAAAACGTATATGTACATATGAAAACCGCTTTATTTTAATAGTTGGATGTTTTAAAACACTTTTTCTTCTCCTCGAGGTCTTAGTTCCTCCAATCCTCTTACTCCCCAGACTTTTAATCGAATGGAATATAAGCTTACGCTCAAAGGCTTTTTTATTCATGAATTTTCATACTTTTATGCAATAAAAACATGCATATAAGTTAAAATTTAATGTTCACATCTACTGCAACCATAAGACTCTAGGAATAAAATTTTCTTCACATGGATTTCTTTTTGTTCCATCTGTCACTTAAATAACATAGTAATAATGAACATATAAATAAATACAGTGAAATTATTGATAAACAAAATTCTATAGATCATGCACCTCTCAAAGATATGTAAGTGCATGGGAATAAAAGTTTTGTTACTGGTATGTCACTTGGTTCCTTAAACTTCTAGTATGATGCCAAAAATCAAATAATTAAAACCAAATAATAAAAAATTATTTTAATCATCTAATTTAAATATTAATTAACACCTTCATTAAATGCTCTTTCTATTTTTATCAAGCCATAGAACTGGAAACCTTATATTTACAAAAGAATTTCTTTCCTAGTAGTTAGAATACTGATCACAAATCACAAGTGAGTTTCTTAATTTCTGGAAAGTTTACCAAAAAGCCTTTACTAGCATTTATCAAATGATTCATAACGTTGTTAATTACACCCTTTCCTTTTTTATTTAGACACATTATTTATCCTGGTACATTCTATTAAGTGTAGGAAAGTTTGAATACCATTAACATTGATGGACCTTTGACAATATATATTTCACAAATGCTTTTATACAGGCTCAGGAAGAGACATGGAAAATGAAGACCACCAGTTTATGTGGTAGTCTGGAAGTATTATAAGCTCCTAGACTTGGATAACACCAGGAGGAATAAGAGGGATCCTTTTGTTAACTCAAGGCCACCCGGGATCTTTTTTGCTCCTGGGACACTAAGACCCAGCGCCAGATGCCCAGGTTCCCCAGAAAATCTCAGCTTCTTGCCATCCCTAGTGCAAAAAAAGGTGCCTGGGATTGCCCCAGGAGTGACGCGGCAAACCAGCCCTGCGCCTGTCCCAGACAAATCCCTGTGATCATTCACCTGTGGCCTCTGACCCAGAGCGAGACAATGGGTGCGTGTCCAGGTAGATCACATACAGCACCATGGAAGAGTGTGGGGCCACTGGGAGGGTCCTGGGACTGAAGGTCCTGCCCCACTTGCATGTGACCAGAAAAAAGGCCCCTTCCACATTGTGCATCTCAGTTGTCTCTTCTGTGAACTAAGGGAATTGGTGGATTGTCTTTAAGGGTCATCGCTTGTGCTGTGTCTCTGGTTTGTGCCTAACGCCCGCCCCTCTTTTCCTCCCGCACAGGCTCCTTCCTCGCTGCAGCTCCACCTTCCTCAGGAGGAAAGTAGCCCTTCTGCTGTTTCTTCCCCTCTTGCTGGAGCAGACGTTGGCAGCGCCACGCAAGAGAGTCAGACGTGGGTTCAGACAAGCTGCAGCCGCTCCTCCTTAGCAGGCATTCCTGGGGACTGAGGGTCAGACGCGAGGCAAGGACTCGGGTCCGATGAAGCCACTCCAACTGTGGCTTCAGAGAGCTAGGCCCACTCCCTCACCCTGGGCCCTTCAAATCCTTCCCTCATCTTCCCCAAAATTATTTCCCTAACTTTTCCCCATATGTGTCTTTTCCAAGTTTAATTTTTAAAAATTAATCAGTCACTAGACAGGAGGAATTATTGAGAATGACGGGAGGAGGTCAGACGCCGACGTGAGGAAGTCATAGTGGAGGGAGAAGAGATGGGGGTGGAGAGTTAGGAGACTGAACTGACCCAAGTCCATGACTGACAAGGATGCTAGGCTGATGGAAAGGGAGGAGTGAACCCCAGGGGGACTATTGATGCCAGGTGTCAAGATGGGAAGAGACAGGAGGAGCTGTTTAGGCGTGGACAGATGCTGGTTCGTTTTTAAACGTGTTGCAACAGAGGTGCTTAGGAGATGCTCAAATGTCGTCTTCCTCGGGTGGCTGGATATAAGTGTCCTAGCCTGGCAGAGAGGATAGCTGTGGGGGGAGACCAGGAAGTCACAGTTAGGATTGTCACGGGAATGGATGTGATCACCTGGGAAGTGTGTGTCGAGAATGACGAGAGAGGGCTGAGACGAGAACTCTGGGCGCCGTCCTCGGTAACTGTGGATGGAGCCCTGGCGTGTGTATCACAGAGGAGACTGCACACACAAGGCCGAGAAGGACTGACAGGGAGGAAGGAGGATTCTAAGTGAGAGTTCAAGTGGGTTAAGGAGCTAACATGACTGAAAGAAACCCCAACAAAGGTTTAAATGGTCCCCCCAAAACAGGAAGCAGACAGAACTGGCTGGAGTCGGCACTAATGAGAGGGGAAGTTTATCTTCATAACTGCAAGATTTCTATGCCTCTTTACGCCTTAGGAGGTCTTCCTATGTGATTTACTGAACTCTCCTTGGGCCCAAACCTAAAGCACAGGCTCCCAAGTAGCAGCCTACATCCTGGCGCCCAGCTGGCTGCTTCAGGATCCCCTGGGAACTCAAAAAAATCTGAGTCCATCGGCCTCGCTTTCTAGAGGGGTGACCAAACTTTTGGCATCTCTGGGCCACGCTGGAAGAGGAGTTGTCTTGGGCTACACATTAAACACATTGCGACATGTAATCACAAAAAAATCTTATAATGTGTTAAGTAAATTTACTAATTTGCATTGGGCCGCATTCATAGCCATCCTGGGCCGCATGCGGCCTGCGGGCTGCAGGTTGGACACCCTGTCAGAGAGTCTGATTAAGTCCACGGTCTCTATTTGCTGAGCGATGCACAGATCATTTTGATGTACACTCCAAACTAGGAACCATATGCTCTTCTTAGCTTCAGGTTCTCCTTAGAAGGTACACTGAGGTTGGAACGAGGGGTAAGGAATAGAGTTGGAAAATGCTGCAAGTCTCAGTGGCCAGGCCACAGGGGAGAGGTGGGGCTTCTGGAGAGAGCCATGGATTAGAAGCCCTAGACTCCCGTAATTCTCTGTATTAGCCTATCTGACCTCAGTAAAAAACAATGAAATTAGGAGGTTGATACTAACGATCATTATGATGTTTGTAGTTCTAAACTTCTGTAATCCCAACACTCAGTATTATTTAAAAGGCTCGCACGTCTCTGGTCAGGTTCCCCTGGAGATGTGCTCAGTTTAGAACCATGAAGCCACCCCTGCATTAGCTTCCTGCTGCTGCATAACCAGTTCCTGTCGGTGAGGAGTCTGGCACAGTGGGTCTGGGTCCTCTGCTCAGGTTTGACCAGGCTGAGATCAAGGCGTCAGCCAAGGCTGCAGTCCTCATCTGGGACTCAGGGTTCTCTTCCAAGCTCACCTGTTGTTAGCGGAATCATTTTCTTGCAATTGTAGGCACTGAGGGTTCCTTACTGCCTGTCAACTTGTAGAGGCCAACCTCGTTCCTTGGCACTTAGCCTCCTCTACCCTCAAAGGTAATAGCATAATGGGTTCCTTTTACAGTTTAAATGTCTCTGACCTCTTCTTCTCTACTAATTAGGAAAAAAACCACAACCCTCTTCTTTTTAAGGACCCAACAGATCGTATCAGGCCCACTTAAATAATCTCTGTGTCTTAAGGCCAACTGACTTGAGGCTTTAATCACCTCTACAAAATCCCTTCACAGCAGTATCTAAGTGGGTGTTTGGTTCATTAACTAGAGGATGAGAATTTGAAGGCTGCTACTTTAGAATTCTGCCTCCTGCAAGCACTGAAATAAGGAAGCCATGTGCAGCCCTAAAAAGAAATCCTTATCTGCCAAGCTCCTACCGTGTGCCAAGCCCTGTGATAAATGCTGTGTGGGCATCCTGTTCCATTCTTATAAGCAGCCTATTTGAATTCTCATTTTACAGATGGGGCAATGATGACGCAGACAAAGGAAGACATTTTTTCCCCCCAAGATTTTTCAGCTGGTTGTGTAGGAGTCAGGCTCCCAAGCCAGATATGTCTTACCGTGCGTCCCCCCCCTTGAGCAGCCACCCCCTACCCCCGGAGATGTACCAGGGAAGTCTTACAGAACTCAGGTGGTCTTGAGCTCACAGGGAGTCAGGGGCCAAAATCAGCCCTCCTGACTCCTTTTTCCATAACATTCCTATTACTTCTCACTAGTTAATTTCCCCTGTCAACTAAGATACTAGAGACAGAAATTAGGCTTTAAACTATTAAACTTTGAGAGGAGATAGGAGCCCCTGAATTTAAGGTGAGGATCTTGGTCCCTATTTAACCCCCTGCCCTGGAATCCGAGAGGCTTCCCCTTTAGTTCTACCTGGGCACACGTGTCTGATTCAGATCTATCTAAATGGGCTGAGTGTGGTAAGAAATAGGTCCAGTCCCTAGAGACAAGTGGAGCAAGAACTGAGACTTAAAGGCCAAGGACAGAACTGGGACAGTTTCATTATTCACCTTTGCCATTGGAGAAGAGATGAAACCTTCAAGGAATGTGAATACGGACATGTCTTTCTTGCAGAGAAACCAGGAATTTGCCCGAGAGAGAGAGTCACCTGTAATGCTAAAGTTCCAGACTTGTGCCAAGAGGATTTCACCTGTGATGGACACAGGAAGTGCTGCCATTTTGCCTGTGGGAAGAAGTGCATGGATCCTTATGAAGGTAATGGCTTCTTGGCTGAGGTGCCTTTTCAGGCGCCCTACTTCCTGCTTGGTCCACACCTGGCTGAACAATTCCCTGCGAGGGCAGGATAAAGAGGCCTACATCAGACATTGGCTCCTTCTCTAATTAGACTCCCAGTCTTCAAGTACATGCTTACTGTGTGTTAAGAGACTACTGTTTGCATGATGGCTTAGAGGCTGGGGTTGTTGTTGGACTCTTTAGCCTCCAAGGAAGTTTGCTGGTAACTCAGAGTACTGAACACCTAATAACAGGGACCTGTGCATTTTACATGGCTTGATTCAACAAATAACTGTTGTCAATGCCCTTTGGCCAAAGACTACCTGGAACACATAAAGTTGAATGCGTTGGATTAATTACTCACTGCAGTGAGGGAGAAGGTTCACCATAGACAACTTGAAGCATCTCAGTAAGAAGCTGTTAGAATCTACTCTAGGGTTGAGGCTTTGATTAGATACTTTCAAGGAGGGTCTAAGTAAGCAGGGGTTTGCTCTAGATTGGGTGCTGTTAGAAACTGGGGGCAATTCTATGAGTATCAGTAAATCTTATCTATAGGGAGGGCAGGCTAGAGTCAAGATAGAGCTGTAGTTGGAAGAGAAGCATAAATCACTCATAGGCATTTGGAATTTTGTGGATTTCACAATGATTTTTTTTGGGGGGTGTCACATTATCATGGTCTCAGAGTGACCTTGTTTGATGTAGATGTCCTATGAGATTGTTTATGTCCAACAGAGGAACTATATGACTCAGCTCTGAGCATCAGATAAGTTTTCAGCCATGACAGGCTGCTTTTTTTTCTTTTTCAATATTTTATTGCTCCTGTGTGTCAGGCACCATCTTAGGCACTTTGGATATAGTTATTGAACAAGTCTTGCCCCCTTCCAAAGCTCAGAGCAGTAGAAAAGATTAGTTCCAAAGTGTTCTTATGTATACTGTACACAATATCCTTTGCAAGGTAGAAATAATGCTCAGAGATGCTCTTCACCACAGAGCACACACAGTAGAGCTAGTACTAGAATACTTATTGACCATGGCTCTTTCTAGGACTTGAATGGTAACCCCATATATTATACAAAGGCTGAGGGCCTGACCCCTTTCCTGTTTTGCTACCTTTCATGTTCTTCCCTCTTTGCGTCTTGCCCTCAGAACCCTGCATGCTAGCCGTAGATCCAGGAAAATGCAAGACTGTTAATAAACGCTGGTATTTTGACTTAAGACATCATTCTTGCAAATACTTTAATTATGGAGGCTGCAATGGGAATGCTAACAACTTCCTCAGCTGGGAAGACTGCATGACGGCTTGCTCATTAATTGGTAAGACTGATATCCGTGGCAGCCTGAGGGCCTTGTCTAACTAGAAATAGAATACCTGCCCTGATATAGGCTCAGACTTTGAGGTTAAGCTGTCTTGGTTCAAGCTTTGGTTCTGTCATTCACTGGCTGGGTAGTCTTGAGTCAAGACTTACCTTTTTGAGTTTCAGTTTTCTTGTCTGTGAAGTGGGGATAATAATAGTATTTACCTAATGGGGTTTGGCTAAAAAATGAGATAGTGCACATGAAATGTTAATCTCTGGCCAGTGGGACCGGAGAGCCTGCTCTACCCCTTAGAAGCAGATGTTTCCTCATCACATGGACCTGTTGAGTACCACCTGAGGACTCCCTCAAGACTGAAGCAAAGACAGGTCAGCTCTGGAATCCCATGCTGTAGGGATAGAGCACAGAGTAAGTGAAGAGTAGGGTGGGGTGAAGGTGAGGGTTGTGGATTCATTCCTTTGCATAATGACCATCACCAATGATGTTGGAAGACAGGGTCTGACAGAGTTCAGAAGCCAAATGACTTGGATTAAAATCCTACTTTCCCCACTTACTGCAAATTTCTTCATTTCTTTGAGTTTCATTTCTCATCCTTATAATACTGGAATAATAGCAAAGACCTTATTCAGTTGTTGGTGGGATTATATGTGATCAAGGACACAAATATTTGACATGGTGGCTGTCCAATTGTGGACTCAGTAAATGGTAACAATTGAGATGGTGACCATTGATCTTCAAAGTGTAGCAGTGTCTGATTTACAAAGGCAGCATGAGCATCGGACCTCAGATTCTGTAAGGCAGGCTGAAAAGTGTCCAATCGTCACCATTTTACAGATGAGGAAACAGATTCCAAGAGGTAAAGTTAGTTGTCCAAGGGTTCACAGTGGGTCCGAGTAGGACTGGATTTATAATTCCATAGGCATAGTGAGCCTGAATGGCCAGGGCAATCCTGTGATCTGACCTGATGAAACTAGGACCACAAGCCTCCCTGTGCAGGAGGCTGTAAGGGATGATGTCAATGGACAAGACCTAAGCCCCTCTCACAAAGCCAGCAGAAAGAAGAGGCCAGGAGAATGGGCTTGTAGTGGTTTGTGGGAAATTTAGATGTGGGGCTCACAGAGAATTTGACAATAGCTCTGAGAGCCAAACACACTACCCTCTGAGTCTAACCTGAAGAAGAAGTGAAAAGAAATACTTCCTGCCATCATAGAATTTGTAATCAGATGAGGACAACAGGAAACATACAAAGTCTTGAAGACTTAATTTAAATGCCATCTACGTGCTAGTGACCCACAAATGTGTCTCTCCAGCCCAAATCTGCCTCCCAAGCACCAATCACTTACCCAACACCTTCATCTGGCTCTCACAGACACCTCACATTTAACTTGTCTAAAACTGAATGCCTTAGCTTAACTCTCCCATCTCAAACCTGCTATATCCATGGATCTCCCCATCTTGATTGGAAGAAACAAAACAACTCCTAAATCACCCTTGCTCACTCTCTTTCTCAATCAACACCCATCAGGTTAGAAAAATAGATCCAGAATCTGACCTCTTCTTCCCACCTTCACAGCTGCCACCCTGATATGAGGTGCCATTTTCTCACCTGGGTTATGGCAACAGCCCCTCACAGGTCTCTCTGCTTCCATCCTTTGCTCTTTACAATCTATTGTCAACACAATAGCCACAAAGAGCTTTCAAAACCTGAGTCACAGTCTTTCACTCCCCATTCAAAGGAAAACCAAGTCCCCTAAAATGGCTTAATTTGATTTGTATAGATTTCACTTAATTACTCCTATTTTATAGAGAAGGAAACTGAAGTCACTCATTAAGTGGCAGGACTGGGACTTTACCTTGGGGCATCAAACACCAATCCTGACTCTCTTTCTACTAGGTGCTGTGAAATGTGAGGCCTTTCATTCCTCTAGAACCCACCAGAGGTGGGCAGAATGGATCAAGTCACAAGGGGCACTCGTTTTGAAGAGAAGGAAAAGCTGTTCGAAGGGCAATGGGATGGGGGGGTGTTCAAAGGAGCTCATGTCTGCTCTTGTTTTAGTGAAGGACGGAGAGTGCCCAGTCTTTCCTTCCATGTTCCGTGTGGAATGTTCGGCTTCATGTAGGAGTGACATTGATTGCCCTGAAAAGGAAAAATGTTGTGAGTCCATGTGTGGCTTTGTTTGTTCCAGGGCCTGGGCAGGTGAGGACTGGGATATACCTCCCAAAGTCTACTGGGCTGGGGATGCCATGCTGTGTCTTAGGTTGACCTTAAGAGGTCTCTTGGGAAACTTTTCCCTCTTAATGTCCAACCAATGCTGTCATGTTGCCCTCCTGATCTTGGGAGACTATGTGTTCTTTTTCAAAGTCAATCATGCATGGTACCACTGCCTATTTTCCCCATGAAGGCTCATTTATTCTAAACCTCATTCTTCAATGGCCTACAAGGTGACGGTATGCACTTATTCATACAAAAAATCATAACCATTGAGTAGTATATTCCTAATAAGCCCTTGTGTCTGCACAGAATTCTGCGCATGCACAGCATATTTATATCCTGTAAGGTGTGCTGGGGAAAAGACTGCTAGCAAAATGCTGTTGAGGTAGAAGCGAACTCTCAAGCCTCTCAGGCTAGTGCTCATTCTGCCACACAGTGCTGAGAATGTATGGTCTTGTCTCTGGGATTGTCAATGTTTCGAGGGACAGCCTGGTATGACGGAAGGAGTCAAGGCTTTTCAAGTCAGTCCAACTTTTCTACTGGTTTTCTGTGGGGCCTTAGGCAACTCACTTCTCCCTATATAGTCCTCAATTGTGACAGTTTATAAAACAAGGAAGTCCTGGATAATTTCTATTACTCCTACCTCTGGTACTCAGGGATCAGATAACCCAAATCCATTAATTCTGTAGGGACAGGTAGGAATACTGTCAGATTTTATAAGTCAGAGATGGTCAGACTTTTTGATGTTCCTCAAATTATTAGCTATTGAACGTTGATACTCTGCCTCCTTCACTCTATTTTTACTGTCAGGGGAAAAATAAGAGGCTTAATCAGACAAAAACCCTGGTTAGGCCTCCGGAGGTTACCCAAATGTGTCTCAAACTAGAATCAAGTATTTCAGAGTCAAGCGTTTTGTTTTATCCCATAAAGTCAAATCAGGTTTCTGCCCAGAGAAGCCCTTGTTGTGTCTAAAGATCGACAAGCCCAAGTGCCTGCAGGATGAGGATTGCCCTTTGGGAGAGAAGTGCTGCTCACGCTGTGGGCTGAAGTGCCTGGAACCTGACACGACTATATAGTAAGTAAAAAATATTTTCTTTAAAAATTTTTTAAAAAAATGTATTGATTGATTTTGAGAGAGAGAGAGAGAGAGAGAGAGAGAGAGATCAATTTGTTGTTGTTATGCATTCATTGGTTGATTCTTGTATGTGCCCTGGCTGGGAATTGAACCAGTGACCTTTTGGTTTGCAGGCTGGCGCTCAATCCACTGAGCCACACCAACCAGGACCAGCTGCCCATTTTAAATCCAGTGTTTCTTTCACATACCAATTATCTATCTATTTATCTTTTACACACACATGTTCTCTAACAGCCATCAAAATGCTTCATCATTTCTATACCCACCTCCCCTCCATCTGCTTACCAATCCACTCATCTGCCTTTCATTCAAACAGCTTCCATCAATAGACCCATTCATCCCATGTGTCCACAGTTCATTTTTTCTTTTAGGAGTGGCCCCTTCTTTTCTGCATCCATGCTTTGTAAAATCTCTTTATACACTCTGGAATGAGAGGATTCAGCTTCTGCTATACACATCTGTTTTCTCCCTTCTTAGGCTATTAAATAATACAGATAGTTACTGCTTTCATCCATCTGAAATTCCTTTCTAAGAGCTGAGCACTAGAGGACAATGTTGAATTACTTCATGCACCAGGAACTGATACACGGGAGTGGTAACATCACTGGTGAACCACTAGTCCAGCAGGAGGACAATAAACCTGAAGCAGTTTCTGCCAGGCTAAGACAGTACAAGGATGTGGCAAAGTGAGTCACTGAACTATGCTAGAGCCACGCCATGCTCCACCAATTTTCTGGAATGAAGACTAACAAAATCTGGCCCTATGTTGACATGCTTTTCTTGAACAAGATCATACCTGTTCAGTCCAAAGAAGCCTACTGAGCCAGCCCAGTGGAAAAACCAGGAAGATGTGGTCATTCTTTCGATGGTGCACGTGGTTTTGGTGCCGTGTTCTGAATAGAAGCTGGTTGAGATAGCTTGCAGTGTCTTTCCTAGTTTAAATGGTGAACTGATATGAAAACTAATGAGTAGAAAGAGTTCATGAATAGGCTCTTCCCTGCCTTTCAAAAGAATGCTCACCTACACATGTTAAAGCTATCTCTGCCCATGTGTCAAGCCATTCACAAGAAAGCAAGGACAGGCTGGGTTTCAAACAGTGTATAACCCAAGCTCTAGCTGATGTGACAGTTGCCTTCTTGCCATGGTAACCATGATGGTGATTGTCTCAGGGTCTCCTCATCCCCCCAAAACTGTTGAACCATAGCGCCAGTAGGCCTGAGAATGCCAAATGTGGCAGCCTGGGCTTTGTCCCATGTTCTCTGGAATGTGCCCCTCTGGGGACAATGAGGTTACAGCCAATTGCTCTCAGTAGTCACTTCTGTGACTTTGAGTGACTGTGCCCACAATTCATTTTTCTCTGTTAGGAGTGGCACCTTCTTTTCTCCATCCATGCTCCATAGACTCCCTCCTTTTCAAGCATCCTGGAGTGAAAGGACAGCTTCTGCTATTTTTATTAAACTACATTTTTTACATCTGTTCTCTCCCTTCCTAGGTTATTAAGTAATACAGATACTCCTTAATATCTTTTGTTGCTTTTGTCCCTCCAAAATTCCTTCCTAAGAGCTGAGCATTAGGGAACAACCCCTTCATGCACCAGGAACTGAGCTCTGAGGAGGGTCTACTTAAACTACTGGCCTGATTCTCATGCATGAACTCTGGTCCTTTCTTTTTTGAGAAAACATAATATCTACAAAGTCTTCTGGAAATCCCCCCAAAATAAGAAATATGCACCTACATAAATATGAAAAGATCCTATCTTATGTGCAGATGTAATAAGACCACATGGAATTACTGGACTAAAATAATAGTTTAGCTTTTTATTCAAGATTTTAAAAAGTATATTTTGAAAATGTGGCTAAATGTTGATGATGAGAGTATTTTTCTCCTGTGAGGGACCCAAGAATATGAGAACAATAAATAGTTGGTAAAGGGACTGGAGTTGAGGAAGCATGTCATGCTGGCTGTGCCTAGACTAAGTGTGACAGCTTTACAGTGATGAGAAAATGAAATTTTTTTCTATTCCAAAGATTCAGTAGGGGGGCCATAAAGTCAAGAATTGTAGATAATACTATTTTGTCCTTCATTGTAATGTAATATCAACAAGTCATTTAATAAGGATTTGCTTTGTTCCCAGATTTTGTGATTGCTTTGTATAATTGTTCCTCTCCTCTGGGAGGGACAATGATATTTTTTCCTGTTGCCTTAAAATATATTCCTCTTTATTCATGGTGATTATCCCCAGTGGGAGTCCTTTACTATTCCTGGGAGTGACTTCAGTGTAATCATTGCCTGAGGAGTTTTGGGGAGATGTACAGGATATGGGAAATGGCCCGGTCCCCGATTCCCTACTCTACCCCTCCCTTCTTCCCTTCCCTCCAGCAAAATAGACAGTTAGAGCCAATGTCAGCATCACTCAGTACATTTCAATAGCGTTCACCATTCCTGCAATTGCCCAGCAACGGAGGAAACTGCTAGGTGGGACCAATAAAAGACAAACATTTTTCCCAGGGTCTTAGAAAGACAATGCTTGTTTTATGTCCAGTGACCTAAAAAATCTACTTCTGGTTTTCTTCAACAAACTCCTTCAATGATTTTGTAAAAATTAAAGTTTGTTGTTTTTTTTTAAATATTTTGACCAAAGTAAAATTCAAGGGACAGCTTTCCTTGGTTTTCCTTCTACTTCCACACCCCCAGTTCCTTCGCTGTTAGGCGGAAAGAGTAGTTTGGTCTCTGAGATTCCCACCTGTCCTCACAGTCTGCAGTTCTAACCAGCTCTGAAGTCATTCTGCTTTCCATTACCCTGACAGCCTTCCTACTTAATTAGAGCTTGAAGATGTTGCTGTGTTTAATACCCTTAACATTAAAGGCCATTTTGGTACCATTCTTTGATTTGAGCTCTCCATTCTCATTAATAGCTAAAACAATGTACAGTATTTGCTCCTGCCTGGGATCTTAGCTTTTGGTGCTCCGATGCTGACACAGGAAAGGGGGGTCCTTGTGGTAATTGCACACTGTGTATACAGAGAGCCTATGTCTCATCTGTACTCCCCTGGGTTACAGGCTCTTAGGAAGGAAGCATCCATATCTACCTGACGAATTGCATTTATTACCTTTCATTTAACTGACAGTATCTTTTCTTGCTGCAGTTAATTATGCCTGAGAGACAATTCATAAATCAGAGTCATGTTCACAGTATGAATTGCTTTCTCGCTCTTCCCCTCCATTTTTAGTAACTTCCTTGTCTATTTGGTTTTTCAAAAGGAGAACCCAGTAATGGACACTCTGTTAGTACAAGAATGTGGTCTGGTCAAGAGCTCTCATCCATTTCCACGTATAACTGACCCTGTCTGGTTTCCAGAGCAGAAGTGGGCAAGACCCAGACGTTGGGAAACCATGAAGCCGTAGGTCAGCTACGAAGACAAATCTGCTTCCTGCAGCTGTTGAGATGTATTATAATTACAATTGCTTATAAATGCCATACCTTATCTTTCCTTTGACAAATCGCACAATTTTGGCCAAAATAAATGCCATTCTCTCTATGCTTCAGGGAACCCTCCAATTCAATTACAATGAGTATGTGTGTATGAGAAGGAGGGTGAGAAAGAGGTGGTAAGACATTTCCAAAAGGGAGAAAGCTCTTGCATGGCATAGGTATTCATTTCTTCCTTAGTGATAATTAGGCTATTCCAGAAAGCACAGTATCATTCTTGAAATAAGATTCCCTTTGTAAAACTTTTCAAAGGAGCAGTGCACCTAGAAGGTTCTCCCTGGTGTTAGTGTGTGTCTAACTCCATTGCATTCAGTCTTTCTTTTCTTTATTTTTAAAGCTTTGGCTATAAAGTAAAAAATGTGTTAAATAAAAACAGCAAATTTGTATTTAATTTAGAGAAGAGTAAAAAGAAGAACAAAAACTCAGTCTTTATGTAAGCCCCAAGGTGCCAGGGATTAGAGGACTTTTCTAGTCCTGATTTTTATATACTCTTATTTTTGAGTCCTCTGGAGGACATTGTTCAGTTCCAGTGTCATTTTACTGTGATCCCTCTCAAGCTCAAATCTGTTCTCTAACCTAATGACAACTTGTCTCTTTGGGTTACTGTCCTCTGAAATGTCAGCTCCACTTTGCTAGAAGTCCCATGTTTCTGGTGATTCAGTGCCTTTTCTCAGTTTGAAAGCCATCAGCCCTCTTGATTTAGGTGTATATATTTAATTCACAGTATCTAAACCTAATCTGTAAATGCTCTTCTAACTATTCATTGTGTTATTAATTATTTTGATTATCTTACTTCAGGGTTATTCATACTTTTTAATTTGCTAGAAATAAAGATTTTTTTTCCTGCTTAAAAACAAAAGAAATTCTGAGTTTTCATTTACTTTTAAGAAAATTTTACCTTACTAGGGAGCCCTGGGAACCATTTGGACATTTACAGACTCTGTGGGCCTCCAGCCCCAGCCCTCACTAAAGACATGACCATCACTTGCTTTGGACTCACAGTTCCTTTCCACCTTCAACTCCACAGAAAAATATTATATTTACACTAATATTAGAAAATTCCCTAGTGGCCTGTGGCAAGAACTTAGATCTTCAGCTCCCTGTTAACTTGATCTCCAACACTCACTTGCTGGGTGACATTAAGTCGGCATCTTTGGCTTTTCTGGGCCTTAATGGTCCCTACCTGTAAGATGAGGAAATGGGACCTGATCAGCCCTTAGAAACCTTCCACGTAGGTATTTCAACTTTCCATGTCCCCCTGGACTGAGTTTGGGAGAAGTCAGGTAGCATAAATAAGAGGGACAGTACTGCCTAAGACATCTTGGTTGTTCATGAGCAATTCTATTCCTTTGTCTCTGTGGGGGATCTAGTGAGATTGTGAAGTTGGTAAGATGGGATCGTGTAGTGTAAGTGTCTGACCTTAAGCCTTTTTATTGCAATGCAAGTATGCGATGTTAAGCTTTTGATTGCCAAGGCATTAATTTCAAAGACACCCACCTCTGATAAACATATTTCCAGCTGGAAGACATAACCATTAGCAAAACAACTAGATAAAGGACAAAGCTGCCCCCATCCATGAAGTCCCCTTTTTAGGAAGCCCTGAGTAGCCTGGAGAGCTGGCCACTGAAGTGACCCTCCTCCCTTCCCATGCCCTAATTCCCACTTTTGTGCTTCCAGTTCTCTAATGAAGAGTGAACTGTGAAAGCCTACGCACTCCACACTTGGACCTCAATAAAGGCAGAGCCCCACATTCACACTTCTGCCCCTCTCTCTGCCCTCAACCTTGCTTCATGGCCCTCCAGTCTGTCGTGAACCCTTGGGGCCTGTGAGTAATAAATCTTCAAAGTTCCCTGATGGTTTTGTAGAGGTGAGTCCTGAAATCATAAGAACCACAAGGGCTGGTCCAAGCACCACGTTGGTCCTGGTGGTGGTAGGGGCATGTCTGTGGGGTTCATTACCTGAGTGAATACAGCCACCAGACCTCAGACACTCCTGGCCAAGGACATCACTATCCATAGGCTGAGGGGCTCTGTCTGTGATCCTAAATTTTGTAACCATATAGTCACTCACTAATGATAAGGTTGGCTTTGCCTGGCTTCTATCCATCAGGTAGGAAAGGTAGAGAACAAAGCTTGGCCCAGAAGTGCAATGCCTAGTTAGGAAAGGGAATGGGAACCTTAGAGATGACATTTACTCTTGGAAGAGTATCTCTCCCCCTGTGAAGACTGGTTGACTGGCTCATGTTTTGGATCCCGTGGCTGTAGAAAAGCTGCCAAGCAGTCTAGCAATGGCCCCTCCATCATTCCCATTAGAATCGAGCAACTCTGCTGCGTTATTGATTTTTATTGTATTGTAGTCTCTCAGGCCAGTCTCTTTGCTTGACAGTTCCTCCTCAGACAACAAGAAGTTTGCACCAGATGATAGAAGCTCTGACATTCTCTCCTGCTCTCAAAGCAACATGGCCTTGACAAACTCTATCTGCAAACTCTGCTATCGGCCTGCTTCTTTCTCCACACCCTGCTCTGGGGCAACATCTGAACTCTTTGGCCTTAGTCAAAGAGAATGAGTGACCTAAAGAGAAAAGGGAGAGGGATGGGAGGAGAGTGTGGGAATAGGAGGAAGAGAAAGAGACACAGAGATCATGGGAGGTGCACTGAGAAAGAAAAAGTCAGACACAGAGAGGCACAGAGGAACAAAAAGATACCAAGATATATAAAGAAAAACAAAAACAAAAAACCCAAATCCACACCACATTGTCATAGACAAAAAGGGTATGCCAGATAGTGTGCAGATCAAATGGAAAATGAATAGAGAGAATGAGGACATTCCACAACTCTCAAAGTTATCATGAAGACCCCATTCAGTCCTAAAGTAGCCTGGGAAGTGAGACAAACTTTGCCCACTCCCCTCTCTGGTTGACTGGATGGCCCAGCCCAACGCAGGGAGCTAAGGATTAGGAGCTATCCAATAAGAGACCTTTCTGTAGGGCTGTGGGCTATCCGAGCCAGCTAGTCACACTGATAATCTCAGGAACTTGGTGTTCCCAGGAAGAAAGGGGGAGGCTGGCTTGATTCCATATATAAAATACTAACGAATAAAAAAATAGGCTGGACAAAGGCAGCTAGACATTTTCAAGTCCTGGAACAATCGGACAGACAGGCCAGCTCTTCTTCAGAATGGTGTCTTCTGGAGTTTTGAGGATCCTGGTGCTAGTCATCCTTCTAGTGAATGTCCAAGGATTTACTCTGAGTGACTTGCTCTCTCCCAGTAAGTACTGGGGCCTCAGCCCTGCTTGGGAGAGAGGGAAGGTTGCTGGAAGGAAGGAACAAGGATTATTCCTTAGACTTGAGTTTCTTTTCACTGTCTTAGCCTTGGTCCTGGGTTGGAAAAGCAGAAAAATATTTGAAGTATTTCTTCCTGTTTCCCTCTCTGTGGAAGATCCCTTCCATGAATGCAAGAATCCAGATCTAAGGCAAGCCCTACTTCCAGCCCCTTTGAAGTACAGGGTCTTTCTTGGGGGAAGGGAGTAAAGGGCTGGGAAGAGTCATAGGATATAGCATTTGTAGGATGGTCTATAGGAATCTGGGAAACCTAAGGGACTTTCTCACCCCACAATAGAAAGAACTCCCTTTCTCGAGACATCATCCCTATTGACTCCTGATTCTTTCAAATACAGTCCAGTAAAGTAGCCCTGCACCCCAGGGGTTCCTTGACTTTGGCATATAGGGCAGCACGAAAAAGTCCCTTTGAACTTTAAGACAGTAATACTCCATGGCTATATAGCATTAATGATAATTGTTGCCATTTATGGAACATTCAGAAAGAAGGGATTTAAAGAGAGGGATCTGGAGTCATACTTGGTGGGTCCAAATTTTGGTTCCACCACTTAGTAGTCATGTAACCTTGGACAAGTTACTTAAATTCCATGTGCTTCAGTTTGGTTATCTGCAAAATGGGGATATTTATAGAATTTCCCTCATAGAGCTATCATGGGGATTAAATGAAAGAACACACTTAAAATGTGTAGAAGAGTGCTTAGCTTTTGGTGACCAGTGGCTTTAAATAAGTGATTTTGCCTTCTAGGGAACATTTGCGAAGTCTGGAGACATTTTGGGTTACAACTGGGAAGAGTTACTGGCATCCAGTGGGTAGAGGCCAAGGATGTTGCTAAACATTCTACAATGCATAGGGCAGCTCTCTCCTTCCCATCAAACAATTATCCAGCCAGAATGTCCCTGGTGTCAAGGTTGAGAAAGCCTGCCTTAGAAGGGATCGGGCGAAGGGGTGGGAATGGGGATGGAATAAGAAGGTAGAGAGGGAGGGGTGGCTAGGAGAGAGGGCAGTGTACGCAGTGCTGGGAAATACGAAAGGGCACCCTGAAGATGAGGACTCCTGGGGACGAGCAAAGTCAAAGCAAATTTCCCTGAATCCCCAGAATTGCCTTGGATCTGGAGAAGAGTGGGCACCGTGCCCTCCAAGACTCATGGTTGTAAGACTGTTCCTTTTGCAGAGAGATGCCCCAGAATCCAAGAGAAATGTGAATTCAGAGAAAGGAATATATGTAAGAAGAACAAAAATTGTCCAGACAACATGAAGTGCTGTGTCTTCAACTGTGGAAAAAAGTGTTTAGACCTCAATCAAGGTATGATTCAGAGCCTTGGAATAACCAATCCTTCTCCCCAAGCCCTTGTTCTCTGCGCATTTGGGTTTTTGTTTCTGGTTTGCTAAGGGTTGGTCTCTGGGCCACATTGCTGACTTGGGCGACTTGGTAACTACATTCATCTCTGCCGCTAATAGGATGTCTGACATTAGGTGATATCTTCATTTTGTCTGGGCTTTGGTTTCTTCCCCCACCAAAAGGCTATAAGGGTGTGATTGAACCAAATTGCCTCTAAGCTACTTTCTGCTCTTACTACTTTGGGTCCCCAAGTGCTCACTGTTGGCCACCATGTACCAACATCGTTGCTGCGAGTGATAATGCAGCTCTCTCTTCTGGAGTGCCTGCCTCTCTGCCTAATCTGACAAGTCTGATCTGGCACCAGGACACCTCCCCTGACCCCTGCAGAATGGAGTGTTTTTCCTTTGCTGCCACAGTCTTTACTCCACACCCATCTCCCCGGGTTCTTGAAACTCTATTAAAGTTCCTTTACGTCTTCATTTAACCAACGCTGAGTCTCTGAAAGTCAGTGGGATTTGACCAATGTGGCCAGGGAGGCTGGGTAAAGCTTCCCGGAGAAAACCAGCCTGGAGTTGAACTCAGAAGGGCAGGTAGTAAATTTAGGCCAAAAGTGGGTGGAAGGGCTTTCCAGGCACAGGGAATAACATTTGCTTAATAGTGGAGCTGAGGGAGCATGAGTGTGGAACAAGGCAAAAAGCATAGTAGGTAGGTCGGGTTTGGTGGGCCAGAGTCTCATTTTGATTCTAAGCAATGGAAATTCATTGAGGTGGGCGGCGACATGAACAGGTTTCCATTGCGCCTGCAGAGAAAGAATGGAATGTCATAAAGGACTCCAGGATGAATGGAAATGGTAGCTTGGATGAGAGAGGTGGCTGAGGGGATGAAGAAGAGGGGGTGACTCCGATAGGCATTTAGGAGGTAAACAGGACTTGATAACGAAGCAGAGTGGGGAGGCAGGGGGATGGTAAGTTGTTCATTTGCCTGCTGATGAGAGATTCTGAATTCACACTTCCTGAGTTCAAATCTTAGCTCCAGTTTTCACCAGCCTATTTATCATGGGGGTGGGGGGCAAATGAATAGCTTTCCCTCACCGTGCCCTGGTCTCCTCAGATAATAAAAGGACCAATGTTAGAGGTTATTTGGAGGATTCAATAAGTTGACGTCCATGAAGTGCTATGAGCAATGCCTGGCAGATAATAGTCATGTGACATACGTTAGCTTAAATTATCGGTCGTTCATGACTGGGAGCTCTTACATAGCAGGGGCCATCTCTTTTCTTGGTCTCTTAAAGTGTCTAGCACATGGTAGATGCTCCATGAATGACTTATTCAGTCCAGGTCAAAGATTCTTCATTCATTCTTTTCTTTACCCTCAATATTCTGCCAAATTCTATACTGTGTCAGCCTGCCTGCTGGGAATGGGGTTCCAAGATGAAATCAGATACAATCCTGCTCATTAGAAACTCACAACCTCACAGTTGAGGCCAAAGGTGTAAACAAATGACAAACATGCACACAAGATTCAGAAGCCCCACAGAACAACGACAGTGCCAATTCAGGCCCCTGAGGGGTATGGAATGTAGAATGGAGTCAGAGACACCACAGAGTAGCTGCTGGCAAGAAAGGTTTTGAAAGGAAAAGAGGAATGTCACTGGTAAACAACAGTGGGGCGAGCAGAAGGGCTATGGAGCGAGAGGTGTGGAAGTAGGGACGGCATGGTGTGTGGCAGGTGCAGGAGCTTGCAGCTCAGAAGGGCAATGTGGACGGCAGGCGGGAGGCCAGAGCCGCAGGCAGGAGGCAGATCAGGAAGGGCCTGTGGGTCACGAGGAGACTCTGTCATGGAGTCAAGGTCTTAGTGCGGAATCATGTGATCAGCTTTGTTTCAGATCCCTTCTCTCTGGTGGGCAGCATGAGGGACGGACTGGAGGGAACAGGGATGGAGGCAGGAAGGCCCAGTGGAGGCCACCTCAACAGTCCAGGCATGAGACACCGAGACTTAAAGCAGGCGGCAGACGTGGTACATATATACAGTGGAATATGACTCGGCCATAAAAAAGAATGAAATCTCCCCCTTTTGCGACAACGGGGATCAGCCTAGAGGGTATCATGCTCCGTGAAATAAGTCAGACAGAGAAAAACACATATGATTTCACTTATATGTGGAATCTAAAAAACCAAAACAAACAAAACAGAAATAGACTGCTATATGCAGAGAACAAATTGATAGTTGTCAGATGGGAGGAGGGTTGCAAGGCTGAGTGAAAAAGGAAAAAGGATTAAGAAGTACAAACTGGTAGTTACAAAACAGTCCTGGGGATGTGAAGTACAGCAGAGGGAATATAGTCAATAACAGTGTAATAACTGTGTATGGTGCCAGGTGGGGACTGGAAATATCCGGGGAATCACTTTGTAAAGTATGTGATTGTCTAACCACTCTGCTGTCCACCGGAAATTAATACAAAAGAATATTGACTGTACACTGTAATTGAAAAAAAATTTTTAAAAATATCGTAGTAACTATGTCTGGTGGGTACTAGACTTATTGGGGGGAATCACTTCATATGTTACAATATAACTGTCTAGCCACTATGCTGTCTACCTGAAACTGACATAATATTGCGTGTCAACTATAATTGAAAAATAAATAAAAGTTTTTTAAAAAAGAGTAACAGAGAGGTTAGCTATGAGGAAGTGAAAATCAACAGAACTGAACTGTGGAGCTGAACTCATCGTTTTGGGCCTGTGTTAGTTTGCTAGGCTGCTGTAACAAGGCTCCGCAGACTGGGAGGCTTTAACAACAGAAATGTATTGTCTTACAGTTCTGCAGGCTAGAAGTCCAAGGTCAAGTGTTGGCAGGGTTTGTTTTTTTCTCAGATTGTGCAGAGGAATCTGTTCCGTGCCTCTCCCCTACTTTCTGGTGGTTTGTTGGAAATCTTGGGCGTTCCTTGGCTTGTAGATCTCTTATCTCCACGTGGTTTTCTCCCTGTGTGTGTTTGTGTCCAAATAAGGTCATCAGTCGTATTGGCTTAGAGATGCATCCTACTCTAGTATGACTCATCTCATCTCCACTAATTACATCTACCACAACTCTGTTTCCAAATCAGGTCACACTCTTGAGGTACCAAGGGTTAGGATTTTATCATATGAAGGGTGAGAGAGTGGGGAGAGATACAATTCTAGGCATAACAGGACTGAAGGCAGGAAAAAAAGGTACTTGACCTTCTGAGAAACCACTCTCTCCTTCCCTGCAGCAACTTGCACTTTACTCATGATCCCATATTCTCTTCTTGGCATGATTCAGAAGGCAGAGTAAATGGCTTATAATTTGCAATTTTCAAGGCACTCCCATATCTTTTCACCATTCAGGACTTATTTATCGAGCAGCTACTCTCTGCCAGGCACTGCACTAGAAGCTGCACATTCAGGGACAATCAAGGAGCTCTCAATTTAAGGGGCCCTGAGGGTGGTCTCACCTGCCCCTCGGGACAGCCCTGTGCAACAAGAAGGGTGGGAATTTGCATTTCCACTTTATAGAGAAGGAAATCGAGCAGATAGCATGAAAGGTCTATGGGCAGACACTGAATTAGGAAAAGAACCTTGAGACCAAAGTCTGCCCACTCTCAGGGGAGACAATGAGGCAAGGGACCACAAGGGAAGGGAGATACCGCTGTTCTCCAGGGATGTAGACACCCAAAGAGCTCCACTTTGGGGGTCTCCCTGCAAATGCACCTTGGCCCCTGAGGGGTGATAAGGTGGAAGGAGCCCGTTCAGTGTCATCAATGGGGGCTGCCGGAGGGACAGTAACAGTTGTATTTTTGGGGGGTGTGCACTCTAAGTTCTCAACTCTGGGGTGTCTCTGCAGACATATGCAGTTTGCCAAAAGATCCTGGTCCCTGCTTGGCTTTGTTTCATCGTTGGTGGTATGATAAGAAAAATGATACCTGTGCCAGCTTTATCTATGGCGGCTGCCAGGGAAACAATAACAACTTCCAAACCAAAGACCTGTGCCTGAACATGTGCTCCAAGAAACGTGAGTCCCAAGGGCCCCAATCTTTCATCCTCGCCAGGGCCACATGGGAGGTCTGGGTGTTGGCTAGTCCATTCCGTGAAGGCTACATCCTTGGTGGACCAGATGCTGACAGAACATTGGACAGTGGCTTTCTGGGAACTGAGGCTGGGAAGGGATGTGGTCATGAATCAAAGCTGGCAAGTGTGAGAGGTGGAGGGAGGATGGAGACATGGTGAAATCTCAGAGACCCAACTTCAGAGAGCTCACAGGACATCCAGCCTAGTGCTGGACATGTTGACTGACCACTCCAGGCCATTAACTTCCTCATTACAGCTCTTTGCTAGCAACCCACTCTTACCCACTCCCATCCACGTCCATCTTTCCTTTGAGGATATGCCTAGCTTCCCAAAGTAAAACCACTTCCTTTTGATGTCCTATGGAAAGATGTACAAACATAACTTCAAGACTAGTTCTGAAGATAGTCTGGGCCCAAGATGTTCAGCTGATCCTGTCCTACATTCTCAACAGGCTCCTATTCCTGAATGCACAAGGATACATTGAACTACCACCAGGCTCTAGCTCATGATTCAAGTCTCTGTCCATGTGCCTGATTGATGCTCCAGGATGGGTTCCACTGTTCCACTCCCAGCGTTCCAAGACCTTAGCCCTTCCCAAATCAAAACCCCAGGGTCTGCTTCCCTCTTCCTCCATCTCAGTGGCTTTTCATACATAATATCATGTTTTTCTTAAAAATTCCTTCCTCCCTTCCTCCCTCCCTCCCACGCTTCCTTCCTTCCTTGCTTCCTTTAATTGATTCCAGAGGGGAGGGAGGAAGACAAAGAGGGAGAAAAACATTGATGTGAGAAAGAAACATCAGTTGGTTCTCTCTTTCATGCCCCCCTATGGGGACTGAACCCACAACCTAGGCATGTGCCCTGACCAGGAATTGAATCCATGACCTTTTAGTTTGTGGGACAACACCCAACCAATTGAGCCATGCCAGCCATGGCCATACTATCTTGCTTTGATCCAATTTCTATAGCCCAACTTCCGGCGCCTTCCATTTATACCTGTGCAGCTCCCAATTTTTCCCAATAAAGTATTCTGTTTGATCCTGTGCCTCTGAGACTCAATGACTCACATGTATTGTCACAGTATGGTTTGTGGAGAGCAAAAGCTCACTGGGGCTTCTGGAGACACCATTCAAAGGAATGAAGAGAATCAGAACCTTGGAAGTTGAGAACCTCAGGGATATTGTCATCCTCTGTTTCTTAAAAAAATCACAAGACTCTTTTAAGAAAAGGGTCTATGGGCATTGCCTTAGCTTGGAGCGCCCAGAAATTGATCCTAGGACAAGGGCATGGGTGAAAGTATTTTCTTTGGGAGATAAATGTGGGAAGCAGGGTAAGTGATACAGGAATAAGAAATTGATTATGAGTAGGTTACCATTGTGGGAAACTGTAGCTTAATCCTACTGGAGAACTTCTAGGGGGACATGTAAAACATGACTCCATATTTTTTAAATCTGTCTTCAGTTATGGGGAAGCTGAGGTGTGTAGTGGGTGTCTAGGGGCATGAAGTCCCTCATTCTTCCAAGCTGTTCTGCACGCAATCTGAGCAAGCTCACAGCAGCCAGAGAAAACCCATGACAGAGAAGTAGGGACTCTGATGCTTGAAATGGAAAGCTATCATTGTGCACTATCATTCAACCATAAAAAGGAATGAAGCACAAATAGACACTGTACTGTGGATGAACCTCAAAAACATTACACTAAGTAAAGGAAGCCAGACACAAAAGGCCCTATACTCTACGGTTCCATTTATATAGAATATCCAGAATAGGTAAATTCATAGGGGTAGAAAATAGTTTAGTGGTTTCCAGGAGCTGGAGTAGGCTGAGGGAAAATAGAGAGTGACTGCTAGTGGGTATGGGGTTTTCTTTTGTGATGAAAATATTTTGGGACTTCTGGTCAAGATGGCAGCATAGACAGACATGGCTCACCTCTTTGCACAACCACATCAAAATTACAACTAAAATATAGAAAAACTATCACTCAGACCATCAGAAATCAAGTTGAATGGAAGTCTGACAACTACGGAATTAAAGAAACCACATCCATCTGGACTGGTAGGAGGGGCACAGTTGTGGAACAGGCTAGGCCCTCACCCACATGTGGTGGATAAAAATTCAGGAGGGATATCTCAGGAGTGAGGAGTCCCAGCCCCACACCAGGCCCCCCAGCCCAGGGTTCCAGTGCCAGAAAGATAAGCCCCACAACTTCTGGGCGCAAAAAAACAGTGAGGATTGAGTCAGTGGAAGAAACTTCTGGAGCCCCAAGCAGTTCCTCTTAAAGAACCCACACATGGACTCACCTACTCAGACTCACTCCCTCTGAGCTCCAGCACCAGGGCAGCAACTTGAAAGACACCAGTGGTATGCAGGGAGAAAGTGAAGTATCTGGCATCAAGATGAGCAGAGACCATTGCCCTTTTTCTAAACCCTCCCCCCACAGAGCCAGCAAGCTGGTGTCATATCTGAGACTCCATCAACCTGGTTAACACCATTTGACTTGCCTTGGAGATCCTTCGAGACTCTGCCCCACCCAATTTACGGGCCCACCCAAGAGGCTTTTCCATATGAATGGCCAGTCTTGGCTCATGCTTCACAACTTTGTAAATTCTATCAAATAAGCAACAGCTGGCCTCAGTGAGCCCTAGGCCCATCACTAGCAGCAGCCAGTCTACTTTCACAGCTTGGCTTTGCTTGGGAATCTCCACAGCCCAGCGCAAGTAGCAGCCATCTCAGGTTGCTTCATAGCTCAGGCAGGTTGGCCCCGGGCAAAATACAGATGGGGGCTGACTTTGGCCTGCACCACCTGGGAAACCCCAAGGCCATCTCTCCTAGTGGACAGCTACAGACCACATTGGAGCACCACCACCCTGTCCCTGCACAGCTGATCCTCCATGGAGGACAGAGGTTGATGGTAAGTGGTCATAGCCAATCCTTGCAGCTGACTGGCCTAGGCAAACCCCTCCCATTGATTGGAATTGCCAGCAGCAACCAAGGCTCAACTATAGGAGGAGGATGTACCCTACAGGACACCTACTACATTAGGACACACAACCAAGATACAGAATCAAAGCAGCTCAACCTAATACATAGAAGCAAACACAGCGAGGCTGCCAAAATGAAGGACAAGTAAATATGGCCCAAATGAAAGGACAGATAAAAAAACCTCCAGAAAAAGAGCTAAACGAAATGGAGATAAGCAATCTATCAGATGCAGAGTTCAAAATACTAAATATAAATGATGCTCACGGAACTTACTGAGGACTTCAGCAGCAAAAAACAAAAACAAAAACAAAAACAAAAACACAAAAAACAACCAAAAAACAGTCAGGGGGAGAATCAAGATGGCGGAGGAGTGAGTGGAAGTCACACTGACCTCCTCCCAGGACCAACTTGGAATTACAACTAAATTGTGGAGAAATCACCTGGAAAAAACAACTGAACAATAGTGAGAGAGGAGCCTTAGAACCTTGGACAGACAGGAGAATCAGCTTTAGCACAACCTAACTGCTAAAGAGTATGGTAGAGACTTGAGAAAGCAGGCGGGGCACCCATGGGCACCAGCACCAGAAGGAATTTGAAATGGCCAGTTGAATCTCCCTGAGAAGAGTGGGGTCCAAACCATAAGCAGAGATCTCCAGCCTACAGCACCAGAGCCCAAGAAGTACACAGATAACAACCAGCTGTGAAAAGCAGCAGGGTTACTCTCTGCCAGAGACAGGTGGCTGGAGACGCAAAGAGCCGTTTAAAGGGCCAACGCATAAATTTTTATTTGCAGCCACTTACCCTGGGCTTCAGCAAAGGCGGGGGCAGTGTGGGCTAGAGACTCCTGAGGAGAACTGGGGAAGGAGGTTTTGGGGAGAGAACTGAGAGAGTGGCCGGCGGGATCCCAGTGCTGACTCATCACCCGTACGGCAGCAGCCATCTTGCTCAGGCAGACCACTCCCCTGAGCGGCAACAGCGTGAGAGGACCCAGTATCCCCGCCCCCAGGAGGGCCTCGGCCCCACCTTGTGGTGTCTCTAAGCCGGCCTACTGAATGCAGAGTGACTAGATTAACAGCTGAAGGAGAGAGCCACAGACAATAGATTCCTGAAAGTCTTGAACAGACTGCCTAAAGTCAGACAGGGTCAGCATCTGACATCATCAAAGGCAGGTCCAGAAAGAAAAAACAGCGGTCTCCTACCATAGAAGTTCTCACCACAAAGCCAGGAACTCAAGACAGATCAACTTAAGAAGCAAAAGAGAAGAGCCTCACCAATAATGGGAAGACAAAGAAACACTCCCAGTCGAAGGGAAAGGAGGACTCCCCAGAAAGAGAACTAAATGAAATAGAAGCAAGTCAACTTGCAGATACTGAGTTCAAAACAACAGTTCTAAGGAAGCTCAATGAGCTCAGTGAGCTCAGAGAGAATTACCAAAAACTACAGGGAAACTACAAGGAACTTACTGCAAACTATATCAGCATGAAAAAGGTCATAGAAACTATTAATAAGAGACAAGAGGAAATGAAGAATACAATTTCTGAATTGAAGAACACAGTAGAAGGAATCAAAAGCAGACTAGATGAAGCAGAGGATTGAATCAGAGAACTGGAGGATAAGGTAGACAAAAGCTCCCAGAAAGAGCAAGAAAATGAAAAAAGACTCAAAAACAATGAAGAGGCATTGAGGGAAATGCAGGACAACCTGAAACATAATCATATCAATATAATAGGGATACCAGAAGGAGAAGAAGAGGATCAAGGGATAGAGAACCTGTTTGAAAGAGTAATGATAGAAAACTTTCCTAATTTGAGGAAAGAAAAAGTCATACATATCCAGGAAGCACAGAGAGTCCCATTCAAGAGGAAACCAAGAAGGCCCACTCCAAGACACATCATCATTAAAATGGCAAATATCAAAGACAAACAGAGAATCCTAAAGGCAGCAAGGGAGAAACAGGTAGTAACATATAAAGGAACCACTGTATGGCTAGCAGCTGACTTCTCAACAGAAACACTACAAGCCAGAAGGGAATGGCAAGAAATATTCCAAGTCATGAAAAGTAAGGGCCTGCAACCAAGACTGCTCTGCCCAGCAAGGCTCTCAAATAAAATGGAAGGCGAAATAAGGAGTTCCCAGACAAAAGAAAGCTAAAAGAATACATCTCCACCAAACCAGCATTGCAAAATACGCTAAAGGGACTGCTTTAAGAAGATGAGGAAAAAGAGTCTATGAATACCCACTTCCTTTCACAGTCACCAATAATTGTTATTACCAATATTTTTAATAGTTATTGGTCTGATTGTGACAATGATGTGTTATTTTAATTGTTACTTTATTATTTGTTGGAACTAAACCTGTTTTTATATATTTCTTGCCTATTTCTATTATTTTTAAAAAGCTTTAAATGACTTTTTGGTATTCTTTATCCATCCAAAAATTCTTTTTTATCCAAAAAAAAAAAAAGGAAACTATGAAACCTTTTTTAGATGTGTTGCAAATACTTTCCTATTCTATTACTTGCCCTTGAACTTTTTTATATGTGTATTACTATATAGTCTTAAATGTTTAATATAGTCATATTGTCAATATTTTACTTTATAGCTTCTGGGCTTGAATATATTACTTCAGGGTAAGAAAAATATTTTGAATTTTCTCCAAAAACTCCTTAGATTTTACATATTGATTTTTAACTCACCTGAACATTTTTTGTATAATGTGTGAAATAGGGCTCTGTATTTATTTTATTTCAAGTAATAGTGGTCCACACACCTTATTTGTTGAATCAGTCTTATTTTCCCCATTGATTTGAAATGTCAATTTAACCATATATTACATTGTTAGACAGATATATACATTTGTTTCTACAATGCTCATTTTATTTCATTGATTTATTTGATTATTTCTGTGCTGGTGTCATGTTTTAATTGTTGAGACTTTATAATGGATTTAAATTTTTTAATATTTTAAAATGGATCTTGACATTTAAAAAAAAATAAATAAAATCAATCTGCATTTAAAAAAAAACACACCCAGTCAGAAACAAAGGAAACAGTAATTGAAATAAAGAATAATTTACAGGGAAACAACAGTAGAGTGGATGAAGCTGAGAATCAGATCAATGATTTTAAACACAAGGAAGCAAAAATCAACCAATCAGAACAAGAAGAAAAAAGAGTCCCAAAAAAATGAGGATAGTATAAGCAGCCCCTTGGACAATTTCAAGAGGTCCAACATTCATATCATAGGGGTGCCAGAAGGAGAAGAGAAAGAACAAGAAATTGGAAATCTATTTAAAACAATAATGAAAGAAACTTCCCTAATTTGGTGAAGGAAATAGACATGTAAGTCGAGGAAGCTCAGCAAGTCCCAAACAAGATGGATGCAAAGAGGCCCACTACCAGACACATCATAATGAAAATGCCAAAGGTTAAAGATAAAGAGAGAATCTTTAAAGCAGCAAGAGAAAAGCAGTTAGTTACTTACAGGGGAGTTTCCATTAGACTGTCAGCTGATTTCTCAAAAGAAACTTTGCAGGCTAGAAGGGATTGGCAAGAAATATTCAAAGTCATGAAAAGCAGAGACCTACAGCCAAGATTGCTCTACCCAGGAAAGATATCACTTAGAATTGAAGGATAGATAAAAAGCTTCCCAGACAAGAAAAAACTAAAGGAGTTCATCATCACCAAGCCATTACTACATGAAATGTTAAAGGTATTTAAATGTAAAATAAGATCAAAACTATGAACAATACAATGGCAAAAAATACTAATCTATTAACAATTGAATCTAAAAAAAAAAAACTATGCAGACAAGAAGAACAGAGACAGAATCATGGATACAGAGAGCATTTTGATGGTTTCCAGATAGGAAGGGGGTGTGGGGGAATGGGTGAAGAGGTGGGGGGATTAAGAAGTACAAACAGGTAGTTAAATAATAGCCATGGGGATGTAAAGTACAATATAGGAAATAGAGTAGCCAAAGAACTTATGTGCATGACCCATGGACGTGAACAATGGCGTGGGATTGCCTGAGGTAGTGGGAGGTGCTGGGTAGAGAAGGGCAAAGGGGGAAAAATCAGGACAACTGTAACAGCGTAATCAATAAAATATAATTTAAAAAAAGATTTTTTGGAACCAATAAATGTGGTTACACAACATTATGAAAGTACTAAAAAGCCACTGTTCACTTAAAAATGGTTAATTTTTAGATGATGTGAATTCCACATCAATTATGAAAATGGATTAGTAAAAAAAAGTGCACTAGAACTGTCTCCTGCTGCTGAAGGTGATATCAGAAGTGAGCTGAGAGTGTTTCTTACCAATGTTTCAAGCCTTAAATTGGAAAGTTCAGTGGAACAATCTTCAAGCCCCACTCACTGATGCAGGTGGTCCTGAGACCATAACTGACATTCATTTACTATTTCCCTCCTGCACCACCTATTCCAAATTGCACCTGATAATAGAAACTCTCCATTAGCTCTCACATTCTCTCCTGCTTTCAAAGCATCATGATTGTGACAGGAACCCTCTGAAGATTTGGTTCAGTCTGGAATCAACTTGTCTCTTCACCTGCATGTTACTCATGGCAATACCTTTACTCTTTGACAATGGTTAAAGAAAAAGGGTGGTCCAAAGAGAAGAAGAGGAAGAGGACAGAAGGGAAATAGAAAGGCCGGGAGGAAGAGCCCAAGACAGGGAGAGACCCACAGAAAAAGAGAAAAAGGCAAAGTAAAAGAAAGAGCCACAAAGAGAAGAAAAATAAACAGTGTGAGAAAAATAAGCAGACAGAGAAATAAACATGTCAAGAGAAATGTTAGAAAGACAAGAATTAAAAGGCTCTTGACCTCCGAACTCCCCCTGAAAAATGAAAGACTCTGCAATCAAACCCCCCCGCCCCCCGCTGCCCCCAGCCGATAAAGGAGTCTAAAAGCCCCAGATAAGCTCTGCCCAGTCTCCCTGGTCGACCAGAAAGCCAGAGAGTCTCAGCTCATTTGTGGATTAGGTGCTGCCTATCAAGAGTTCCTTCCCACAGGCTTGGTGCTGTGGGTGGCAGCTTGTCCCACGGATCGCCTGAGGGACTTGGTGTTCCCCAGAGGAGGGAGTGTAGCTGGCCCGTCCCCAGGAGTGGTAGGGCAGCCAAGAGCTCAGAAGGCATTGCTCTGAGCACTTGTTCTTAGTTTTGCTGCCGCCAGCCAGAACAGCCCCTCTTGAAATGGAGATCTCAGGACTTCTGCCACTACTGATTCCATTCACCCTCCTGGGGGGTGTCCAGGAACCTGGGCTGGTTGAGGGGTTCTTGAACGGTAAGTACTGGGGACTCAGGCCTCTCAGTGGAGAAATGGAGCTCAGCTGGGAGGGAGGAACGAAGAATTCCACTGATGAGAAATGCTTTCCCCCACCTGAGCCTGGAATCCTGGGAGGGAGAGAGGAAGGGAGGGAGGGAGGGAGGAGAGACATTTGGAGTCATCTTTTCAGCTCTCTTCCTCCAGGTAAGATGCCTCAGTAAATGTAGGAGCCTGAGTCTGTGGCAACTGGCCACCACCCCCATAATTATGAGAGGAGATTTCACTTTCTAGAAGTCCCTGGACCTGAAACTCATGAAACAAACTAAGAGAACTGGGTAGCTTAAGGGTCTTTTCTATAAGAAAGGCCACTCCCCCTAGCACCACCTTCCCATTGCAGCCCCCAAAAGTCTTCGCATACCCACAGGGAACCCTTGCCTTTGGGATAAAGAATAGTCTCTGGAAGTCCCTTGACATGTTGAGAAATGAAGATCCCTTTAATTAGCAGCTAAACTATATGGAGCACTCAGACAGCAGTGGAGACATACGTTACACGTTCAAATCCTGGCTCTGCTCCTTCGTAGCTGTGTGACCTTGCACAAGTTCCCTTAACTTCCTTGTGCTTCAGGTTCCTCTCTTTATAAATTGTGAATATTAATAGGGCTAACCCATAAAATTGTCATGTGGATTAAGGAGGAAAGTACAAGCACACAAGAAGCACTTCGTCAATATTAGTTATTATTATTATGCTCCCTGGCAGCTTGACAATGGCTTTCCGAACTTTGTCACCTTAATTGTCAAAACAACCCTGCAGGCTAGTGGAGAGGTCAAGGTTCGGAGATGACGCCTGCCATACTAAGGGATGTACAACATTCAAAAGCCCAGCCATCTGACTCCAAGATGGAGAGCTCAGTCACCAAGAGCACCGCCCCCACCCTCACTCAGGGGTTGTCCAAATACAGGAAGGTCAAGTGACCTGAAGAGAGTGGAGAGTGTCCTTCTCCCTGAAACTCTGTGGGTGGTGGGGGTAGGGGGAAGGATGGATTTAAAGATTAGATTGTAAATGGTTAAGGGACTGGGGATGGGGCAGCAGAGTGAAAATCATGAGTCCTCTGAAGCTCACTGCTTTCTGGGGACAATGAAGTGAAAACAAGCTCCCCTAAATCTGCAGCGGTGCCCTGGACCTGCAAAAGGTGCTTTGGCCCCTTCAAAGTCCCTTCTTCTCTTCCTTCAGGGGTGTGCCCTAAAACAAAAATACCATGCAAAATTGAAGAAATCAACCAATGTTCGAAGAGGAAACCTTGCCCAGAGGACATGAAGTGTTGCAAGTTTAATTGTGCAAAGAAGTGTGTAACCCCCAAAGAAGGTAACACAGAAATCTCCTGAATTATCCAATGCCCTCACACCTATCCCCACTTTCTGCCCACCTGCACTGGCATTGCTAGACCCCTTCCCTGGTCCACTGACGGCTGGTGTCTGACCAGGAGTCTGGGTGCATCTTCTACTTGATACAAATGCCGAACTCGGGTGGGTGTTGGGAGTCATGGGTTTCATTTCTGTTCCTATTTAGGTATGTGATGTGAGTAACAGAGTTTTTCCTTTGGGGGCTTCAGTTTCCCCATCTGTAAGAAAAATGTGGGCTTTAGACTATGTCATCTTTTGGCTATTCTTCTGTGGCCCTTTGAGATGCCAAATAGCCAGTGAAGTCACATCAAATGTTAACACGGTGTCAGGTGATAGAATAGCTATAAGAGGCAGTTATGTGATTTTTATTTCCTGGCTTTCCCCCCCCAGGCCTCCCTGTCTATATAAATCCAAGCGGCTTCCCCTAGCCACCTCTGACTTCCTTCACACTTTCCTCTCTGCCCATATATGGCTGAGCTCTAAAGAAGACCATTAAGAAGTATTCATCCACTCACTTATTTCACAAATATTTACTGATGCCCCTGATACCCATGATGAGTTCCACTTTCTCAGTGTATCCAGGGAGCTCAGGAAAAGTTTTCCTGGTAAAGGGATCCACAATTTGAGACCTGAAAGATCTTAAACTATGAGGTCCTAAAAAACTCTATTTGTACCTCATAGCGCTATGCACAAAAACATCTGCTCAATAAAAGCTTCTTGAAGTTCAGGATACATTTGAATTTTTTACTGTAAACATTCCTGAAGCATCCACTCAGTGCCAAATTATCTGCTAGGAATTGGTATATCAATATGGCAAAAGACACAAATCTCACATTCTCATGGCGGAGTCAGAAAATGCAAACAATTGCATAGAAGTGGTAAATGTGTGTGCAAGATTGAGAAGCAATAAAGAAAAGCAAGGAGTGAGGCAGGGGGGCAGGAAACGCAATGCAGAAGAGTCTGGGGTCTGAGAAGGGTTTTGAAGAATGAAAAGGGAAGTACCTAGTGAGCAAGAGACGAGTGGACATTTCAGGCATGTGCAAAGGCGTGGAGAAGTGTAAGAGCGTCACTTACTCCATGCCTTTGCACATGTTTGAAATGTTCTCTAGGGAGGCAAGCACCCAAACTGCTCTACTCTGCAATCTCCTTGCAGACATATGTAGTTTGCCACAGGTAGTTGGCCCCTGCTTCGCCTTCATTCGACGCTGGTCGTATGATAAGAAAACTCAGGCATGCTCTGAATTCATGTATGGCGGTTGCCAAGGGAACAATAACAACTTCCAGTCTGAATCTGCCTGCAAAGCCTTCTGCGTAAAGAAATGTAAGTCCTAGGAGTCCCATCTCCCATGCTCACCTGGGTTACCCTCAGAGTTCTGGGTGTTTGCTGGTCTATTCTAGGATCTTGGCTGGGTTGGGGCTGACCAATTCAATCAGGAGGTGAGAATGTACCTTCTCAGGGGTAAGTAGAGGAAAAAGAGGATGGGATGGGGAGCAGGAGACAAAGTTCATAAGTATGAGATGAATAGGAGGTGCAGAGAGAGGAAGCAAAAGTGGCGGAGTGTCTGAGACTAAGTCAGAAGAAGGCTCAGCAAATCGACCCAGTGCTGGGCACCATGTACCTGCCAGTCACTCCAGGCCTTTTCTCCTCACCAAACCTCATCACTGATTCTATTTATTTTCCTTCTTAAGGTGAGTATAGCCAGGACAACCAAATGCTTTTTTGACCAAACCAAGACATTTTTGGGAGTGAAAGGGAATGCCATTAATTATTATACTGACACAACGACAGAAACTGGGACTCTGTTGGGAAAACCAGAGACCCCTCAAGTCACTCCACTTCTGTTTTCTCTTCCTATGAAAAGATGTCAAAGTGATACTATCTCAAGCATCCCCATACCTTTCTTCCCCCCTCTCTCAGGCATGTATCTCTGCTCTCTCTTAAGCTCTCAGGACCCTGGTGAGACTTGCAACTAGAGAAGCAGCAGGCAGTAGCAGCTCATCCCACGCTAACTGCATGAACCTGTCTCCAAGGGCCCCTTTTCTCTGACTTCTCAGTGAGCTAACAGCAGACCTGCCTCGGCTCACCTCTGGCACTGTGACTTTTACTTCTCAGTGAGTCCCTGAAGCCCCATGTGGCTCATTTCTTTCCTATAACGTTTCTAGGGAGCCAAAGTAGAGCACTGCTTAGGCTCTCTCCTGTTGCTTCTTCTATCCTAAGCCTTTCCTTTGTTCCACTGTCCCCAGCTTTAATAGATATACTATCAAAATCACACACACACACACACACACACACACACACACACACACACACACTGATCTTATCTCCCTTTTCCATTAACTGCAAGATTTTGTTCCTAAGGGAATTGGAGCCCCAGCATCTCGCCCTTTTGTATCCTTCTATCTCCCAGAATCGTCTTCTTGGCTAGGATAACCTAACCTGAGCTGGAACAGCCTCCAGGATCTGGCTCATAACCCAGGCTCTCTCCATGTGCACTTGACTGATACTCCCTATTGATTTCCACTAGCCAAACCTCGGCTGTCAAGACCTTGGCCGTCCTAAATACCGAACCTCAGGATTTGCTTACTCCCTTTCCTCCAGCTTGGCTTCTCTTCAAACGTAATGCCCTTCACCTTTGGACCCTTCCTCGGTGTGCAACCCTGTCTCTTCAAATTTCAGGGCCTCCATTTATCCTTTGGAAGCCCCTAGTTTTCCACAATAAAGTGCTCTGTGAGGTCTGGTTTCTCTGAGGATGAATAATTCACATCTGCTCCCCAAGTGCAATTTTCAGAAAAGTGATTGGGTCTCTTAGTGATGTGAAAAAAGGAAGAGAGGAGCAAGAAAATCCTGCAGATTGAGAACTCTGGTGACACTGTTGCCCTGGTAAATTGTCATAAGATGCTTAAGATCCATAGCAGGTCCATGTTTTGTATGGCATGAAGCTTATAAAGTTAGGAGGGTCCTTTTAAAAATGAACACAAGTTAAATTAAGGGGTGAATATTATTTTAAAGAAGAACAAAAATTTTAGAAAGCTAACAAATACCACGATTGCACAAGATCCATATAGATTAATTATTAATTAAGTTTTTACATATATGGCAGCAATTCTGTGAAACTCAATTTCTATGGAAAGATTATTGGGCCTTTTGTTGAACATGGCTGATCAAAAAATGATTATATTTTGATTTTGATTGTAGTTGGATGCATAAAATAGAAGCATGAATGCACAGCTATGCTTGATATTTGTAGTCCTACTAAAGGTTTGTGCTCTAAAAACACAGCAATTTAAATACATTCTCTTTTGTATGATTCCGTCAGGAAACCCGGTTGGTGCCCTCGCTAGTGTGGCTCAGTGGATTGAGTGTCAGCCTGTGAACCAAAGGGTCACCATTTCAATTCCAAGCCAGGGCACATGCCTGGGTTGTGGGTAAGGTCCCCAGAAGGGGGCGCGTAAGAGGCAACCACACATTGATGTTTCTCTCCCTCTCTTTCTCCTTCCCTTCCCCGCTCTCTAAGAATAAATAAATAAAATCTTTAAAACACAGAAAAGAAAGAAAGAAACCTGGTTGGGACAGGGTAAAGTGCAGAGGTGTTCCTCTCAGGACTTCAGTTTCCTGTCCATAAGTTGAAGGTGGACTGATGTCAAAGAGCACTTCTAAATTTGAGAAGATAAGGCAGCCTGGGAGCCCTGCCAAATCTGATAAGCTCCTGGGGCTTTTCCATCCTATTAGAGCATCCCAGTCCTTGCTTGGGCTTGATGTACATGAGTGACCGGAACAGAATCATCTATTCTAGGAGTCCATGGACCAAAGAGGTCCTTGGAAATAGCCAGGGTGTGCCCTGTAGTTGACAATATCTGCGCACCTGCTGTGCTCAGGAATGAGCTCAGAGCCCTTGTGGCTGAGTGCAGGGATTTTCATGCCTTATAATGACTTCAGTGAAAGGTGCTGTATCTCTTTGTTGTCAAATGTTTGTGCATTCCTCTGCCCACTGGAACCAGAGGACACCTCGAGTGAAATTGTTAGGTGTTATTCCTGATGCAACGCAGACCCAGGACGCCTCGTCTCCCCTCTCCTTATTCTCACCTCAAAGCTTCCTGCAGAGCCAGAAATGCCCAGAGGAAGCTGGGCGTGGTTTGAAAACTCTGGGAATGTCCAAGCTGAGGGGATTAGAGAGCTCCACCAGCCCCAATAACTCTCCTTTGTTTTTTTTTTTTTTACAAATGTACAAATAGAAGCTTCTAGTAGGAAATGGACATCCAAGATCACACAGCAAATCAATAGTCACAAGGGAGCTAAAATCCAGGTTCAAAGAGCAGCAAGGTGTTGCCAGTTTCCACAACCGAATTAGAAATTGAGGTGGACATAATGGCTTCTTGTCACTTTGTTTTTTAATGGTCAGCGTCTTAATGTCACTCCTACAGTTGAAGAAGTCCATACCCTGAGGAGCCCTTGTGTGAAGTCAAGCCAGTGCTGCACTATAAAAACTGAAAGGCCAAGCTCTCACTCATCAGCCAGGGTTTAGTGAGGAACACGGGAACCATGCTCAGTGTCTCAAACAGAAAACAGTATTGAGAGTTGATTATGTAAGCGTTGGGAGGGTCTGGACATTAAGAAGGAACTGGGGCTTGGGTAGGAATCAGAGAGAACATTCTCTCTGAAATGCCAGGGTAAAGTGAGGCCAGTTCCATGAATAGTAGAAAAGGCTTTGGGCTTGGGCACCTGATCCCTAATGCTGGCCCAGTCACTAATCTCTAAATGACAAGGAGCTAGTCATTTTCCCCTCTGGGCCCCACTTACCACACCCGCACCATGGGGAAAACACACACACACACACATACACAAAATAAGGATCCTCTCCCCACCCTAGTCTTACCTGGGACATTTCCTTGGCTCTCATCCTTCCCGGCCCCGGTGACATCCACAAAGGTATCAGTAGTGTTCGTGATGGGAAAAGTGTGGCCCTAACACTGTACCAGGGGTG